CCCAATGAAAATATCTTTCAAAAATAACGATGAAATAGTAATGTTTTCAGACATATGAAAACAGAAAGAATTCATTATAGACAGACTTTCAGTACAGGAAACATTAAAAAAATTCTTCAGGTAAAATTAAAATGCCATATGACGATAAAGTGGATCTAGAAAAAGAAATAAATAGCATTGGAAATGGCGACGACATGGATAAATGCATAAGATTTTTTTCTTATTATTTAAATGTCTTTAAAAGATTATTTATTACTTAAACAAAAATACTAGCAATGCATTTTGGTAGTTATAACATATATAAATGTAAAATGTATGGAAGCAATAGTATGAAGACTGGAAGAAGAGAAATGGAAGTATACCATTGTGAGATTCTTATCCTATACATAAAGTTATATGATAGCACTTGGAGGTAGACTGCAATAAGTTTTGATATATTTAAATCCTGAAGTAAGTACTAAAGCAAAGAGAAATAGCTAATAAACTAACCGGGGGATAAATGAGATAGTAAACAATATTCAATCAATCCAAAAGAGTATAGAAAAAGATGAAGGAAAGAACAAAGGACACTTGAGACACACTGAAAACAAATATCAAGATGATAGACTTATATCCTTGGAGCTAGAGTTCAAAAAAAAAAAAAAGATGATAGACTTAAATATAACTATATAAAAATCACAGTAAATGTAAATAGCTTAACACTCAAACAAAAGACAGAAATTGTAAAATGATATAAAATAGCAAGACCCAATTATATGTCACCTAAAAGAAACACACTATAAGTGTGAAGACAAAAAATAGATTAAAAGTAAAAGGATGGAAAAAGATAGGTAATGCTAACATTAATCAAAGAAAAGCAAAGAGTGGCTACCCTAATTTCAGATGAATAATTTATAGCACTGCATAGCTATATTCAAAAGAAGAAAGGTCTCAAATCCATTTGGGCTCAGCTTCCATATTAAGAAACAAGAAAAAGAGAGGAAATTAAACCCTAAGTAGGAAAAGAAACAATAGCAATCAAAGCGAAAATTATTGAAGTATAATACAAAAATGTAGTTGACAAATTCAATGAAACAGATAGCTTTTTTGAGAAGAAAAATTAAATGGATAAATCTCTGGCTAAACTGATTAGTTTAAAAAGTTAATGTCAGAAAGGAGAGAAGTGGCATCACTATAGATTCTGGAACTATTAAAATGATTAAAAAAAATTAAATGTATGCCAATAAATTAAACAACTTAGAGGAAATAGACAAATTCCTTGAAAGACACTAACCACCAAATCTCACTGAAGAAGAAATCATTTGAAAAGCTCTACATCTATTAAAAAAGAAAATGAATCTGTAGTTAAAAACCTTACAACAAAGAAAAGGCCATACCCAGGTGACTTCAGTGGTATATTGCATCAAATATTTAATGAAGAAATAGTACCAACTCTAACTAAATTTTCCAGAAAATTGACATAGAAGAATACCTCTCTGAAACTCAAGCCAGACAAAGCCATTACAAGAAAGAAAATTCCATTTAAAAATATCACTCATAGGCTGGGTGAGGTGGCTCACTCCTGCTGTAACCCTAGCACTCTGGGAGGCTGGGGTGGGCAGATCCTTTGAGCTCAGGAGTTCCAGACCAGCCTGAGCAAGAGTGAGACTGCATCTCCACCATAAATAGAAAGAAATTAGCCAAACAACTAAAAAAAAAAAAAAAATAGAAATAATTAGCTGAGCACGGTGGCACATGCCTGTAGTCCCAGCTACTCTGGAGGCTGAGGCAGTAGGATTGCTTGAGCCCAGGAGTTTGAGGTTGCTGTGAGCTAGGCTGACGCCACAGCACTCTAGCCCAGGCAAGAGAGGGAGACTCTGCTTCCAAATAAATAAATAAAAATAAAATAAAATAAAAATATCATTCATAAATATAGTTACAAAAATTCCAAGCCAAATTTTAACAGCTCTAGTCCATTAATATATTCAAATGATAATGCTGCCGGGTGCGGTGGCTCACGCCTGTAATCCTAGCTCTCTGGGAGGCCAAGGCAGGCGGATTGCTCAAGGTCAGGAGTTCAAAACCAGCCTGAGCAAGAGCAAGACCCCATCTCTACTATAAATAGAAAAAAATTAATTGGCCAATTAAGATATATATAGAAAAAATTAGCCAGGCGTGGTGGCATATGCCTGTAGTCCCAGCTACTCGGGAGGCTGAGGCAGTAGTATTGCTTGAGCCCAGGAGTTTGTTGAGGTTACTGTGAGCTAGATTGACGCCACAGCACTCACTCTAGCCTGGGCAACAAAGTGAGATTCTGTCTCAAAAAAAAAAAAAAAAAAATGATAATGCTTCTTAATAATACAAGGCTGTTTTAACCTGCGATAATTAATCAGTGTAATGCATCATCTTAAAACTACAAAAAGAATAAAGATCATATAATCATCTCGATAAACATAGGAAAAAATATTAACAAAATCAATACTTATTCCTGATAAAAAATCCTCTCAGAATTCTAGGAATAAAAGGTAACATCCCCAACTGATAAGTGATTCTGTAAATAAGGTACAGTTTACACAATACTTAATGATGCAACACTGAATGATTTCTTCCCAAGATCAATTTCAAAATAGGAATGTTGTTCTTATTACTTTTATTTGGCATTGAATTGGAGGCTCTAGTCCATAAAATCGGGAAAGAAAAAGAAATAAAAAGCATTTAGTTTGGAAAGGAAGGGTAAAAGTATTTTTATTGGCAGATTACATGATTATCTATGTAGACAATCCAACAGAATCTACCAAAAAAAATGCTAGAAGAAAGAAATGAGTTTATTAAGATTTAGGATGTAAGATAATATAAAAAAATTCTATTGTATTTCTACATACTAACAATGAACATTTGAAAATTAAAATAACAAATAACAATGCCAACTATAGTAGCATCAAAATTGTGAAATATATAATGATAATCTAATAAAATATTTAATATGTAAAATATCTTTACAGAGAAAACTACAGAACATTACTTAGAGAAATTAAGGACTGCCTAAATATATGGAGAGACATACTTTGTTCATGAGTCAGACAAATCAATATTTTCAAAGATTTCAATTCCCCTCTAATTGATATATAGATTCAATACAATCACAATCAAACTTCCCAAAGGATTTTTGTAGAAATTAATAAGCCAATTCAAAATTTAGTATGAGAAATACAGTGACACAGATCAGCCAAAACAACTTTGAAAGAGAATAAAGTTGAAGGACTATCACTCTATGATTATAAATTTTATTATAAAACTATTACAAAAATTATACAATGTATTATAAAACTCAAAAATTTATTATAAAACTATTCAAAATACTGAGGTGATGTAAAAATACAGAAATAGATCAGTGGAACAGCATAGAAATAAATCCATACATATATGAACAATGGATTATTGAGAAAGGTACAAAAACAATGCAGAAAATAAAGAATAGTCTTTTGTTAAAAAACATTAAAAGAACTTCAACACATAACTCACATATTAACCCAAAGTAGGTCACAGATTTCAATGTAGAATCTGAAACTATAAAATATCTAAAAAACACATATGAGAAAATTTTTGTGACCTAGAGATAAGCAACAAGTTCTTAGAAATGACAGCAGAAATGTAAAAACAGACTTCATTAAAATTAAAAACTTCTGCTTTTCTGAGTACACTGTTCAAAGAATGAAAAGATATGCCACAGACTGAAAACAGATCTTAAGACACATGTCTGATAAAGGGCTTTTGTCCTAAATATACAGTGTTCTCAAAACTCAACAAGAAAACAAATAACCCAAATAAAAATTCTCAAGAGATATATGCAGTAACTTTATAAAAGAAAACATACAGATGACAAATAAGCACATAAAAATGTGCTCAAGATCATTTTCCATTAAGAAATGCAAATTAAAACTATGATGATATACCACTACATATAAATTAGAATGGTTAAAACTGCAAGATGGACCATACCAAATTCTGGCACCAATGAGGTGGAATTGCAATATTCACATACCATGGTAGAAATGTAAAATGGTACAACTTTGGAAAACAGTTTGAGAGTTTCTTAAATAGCTAAACACACATCTAATGTAAGATCCTGACATTAGACTCCTAGCTATTTACCCAAGAGAAAAGAAATCCTGTGTTCATACAATGACTTGTATACAAATGTTCATAGCAGCTTTATTTGTAATGTCCCCAAACTGAAACAACCCAAATGTCATAAACAAGTAAATGGATAAACAAATTGTGGTAAATACATACAAGGTAATACTCAACATTACAAAGAATGAGCTATTGATACAATCAACTGGATGGAGATATATGAATCTCAAAATAATTATGGAAAGTGAAAGAAGCTAGACCCCCAAAAAGGCATCTTGCATGATTCTGTTCATATAAAATTTTACAAAATGCAAACTGAAAGTAGATTGGTGGTTTTCTGGGGAGAAGGCATTAGGGAGCGACATAATGAAACTTTAAGGAGTGACGGACATGGTCACTGTCATGATTGTGGTGGACATGTTCACAAGGTGTGAAAACTTATCAAATTGTACACTTTAAATATGTTCAGTTTATTACATGTCAATCATAATGCAATGAAGTTTTTAATAAAACACCTCGTCTTCCAAAGAATTAGGGATATGTGCGTTTGTGAGTGTGTGTGTGTATGCGCACACACATACAAGGGCTGTCCGGAAAGGATCCAGCCATGTGTTTTATATTAGCAATGGATGGATACTTCCCAGGTACACACACACACATACACACACACACGGACACACACCCCTATATATGATTGGTGTTAGATTATGTGCAACAAAATGAAAAGGTTTCCTTTGAAGTAGAATAACCTGTGAGGGGAGGTGGGAAGGAAGTAGAAGCACTGAAAATAGAAGGGGTATTTTAATTCCATCTGTTCCTATTTAGCAATATTTGCAAACCTGGCTCAGTTTGTTCTAGAATTGGGTGTCTTTATTTTTCTGATTTTGTATGTTTCTGAATTATATCACAGCATAATGGGACTTGAGAAAAGGTCATCTACAAAGGGTACGTGCTTTGAAAAAAAAATGCTATTATTTTTCTTCTGGGCTGTACATCCTATGATTCTAACAAATGCTGTTTTGAAGGGTTAAAGGTACTAAGCTGTTCTTTGGAAGAGAAAAGATGAAAAATAACTGATTCAGGAAGTGATAATGGGTTGTGCGTTACTTCACAGAAAAGACCACTCAATTACTAATTATTAATACTCCCCAGATCTCCCCAATTGTCCCCAAATATGTATGTGTGTGTGTGCACACACGTGTGTATGTATACATACTGATAAATGGTGGAGTCTGGAAATGGATCACAGTTTAAAAACCAGAGTAATGGCTTTTAAAATTGACAGAAGTTTCTTGGTTTCAGTGTGGTCTTCGCCCTTCTCTGTTTCTTCATGTGCAGTTTCCTAGGTACATTTCCTCTTTTTTGCTCTCTGCCTGCAGTTGGGTAAGTTCTCCATGTTCTGTCTTCTGTGCAGTTTTAGGAGGGTGAAGGGCTGGTGGCACAGAAGTAGAGAAAGAAAACTGACTGCAGAGGGTTCCCAAGCTTGGAGAAGAGTCAAATTTTAAAATAGAAAAGGGAAGAGGGATTGTAAGCTGCCAGGAAGGGTTGGGGCAAGCTAGGTGAAAAATATAGAGAGATGGAATCAAAACTTTTGATATAAAGGTGCCAGGCGGCTGGGGCCTTGGTCTCTGCTGAGGATTTCTGCAGCCAGCTAACAACTGGCAGTTCTCAGGGCTCTCATGCTTGATACTCAAGTGACAAAGAACAGCTCAAATTTCAAACTTCAAAGACCTTCTTTTCTTCCAGATCCTGCAGCATCACTGTGCTGTCAATAGATTTGCCGCCTTCTGACATATACTGAATGCAACTAAAATGCAGTTTTCAGCAAAAACAGTTCCCCGCTGTATATATGCACAGGTACCTTCAGCGTACCTCTGGGAAACAGCACCCTGGAGTCTAAACCTGCAGGCAGAGAGAAAAAACCAGTTAGATTTACTGCCACCTTGTGTCAGGAACTTGGCTTGTCTTAAAGCTTCACATCAGTAATAGATGTGGAAAGGAAAAATCAAGGGATTTGAATGGGTAAATAAATGAGCAAATCCCTTTGTGAGAATGGTGAGGAAGGAAACTGTCAGAAATTCCCTGAGCTTTGCTCTAGCAAGAAGAGGACTTTGTTGGAACACAGCAATAATTTCACCAGCAGCTTCAGCAAGGAATAGGAAACTTACAAGTGGGGCATCAAAACAAACAAACAAAAAAAAAAACAGGAAACTTACAAGTGGGGCACCAGAGGAGAACCATCCTCCCAGAGCCAGGTGTAGTTGGGTTTCCTTAGAGACAGTCCTATCCAGAATGGGAAATTGGAATGGGAAATTGCTTGCCGGATGAAGTCCTGTGGGAAGGAATATTTCTGGGTTGATGGTGGAGTCAATATGGTGGTTTTAGAATTGAAAGTCAGTTAGCATTAGATTCATAAAACTAAAGAACCAAAAGCGATCTTTGACATCCCTGTGATGGTTTTACAAAAATGTTCCGAGAAGCCTAGAGATACTACTTAGCCTGTCAATCCAAGGTCATGGACATCCTTGGTGACCAAGTTAGGCTAAAAACCAGGTATGCTGGCCCTCAAACAAGAACTCCTCCACTGATGGTCTAAACCTGATATATTTACCTATCAACCAATACTCATCAACAAATCCATAAACACTCACCAGGTCACCTGTGCTATTAATTTTCAGCAACTGGGCATCCAAAGACAAGCAGTTCTCTCCACTCTTTTCCCAATCAAATGGGCCAGAGGAAAACAGGTAACAGTTTTCTCCATGCCAGATCCAATCTTGAGGACAAGGAACTAGGAAGAGTATTATATCCAATCAATCAGTTATGTCCAAGTAAAAGTATTTCTTAAATCATCTCTCCCCTTAGTCCTCTCACAAGCATACCATCTCTTCTTAATTAGAATTATATCCAGACTCTGCAAATACCTAAGTAGTCTCAGAGTCTTTATTTCTCCAGTTTTTGGGGGAAAAAAAGAAAGAAAGCATTCTGATTTTAGCAAACTAAATTTACTTCTCATGTAGCATTTTCACTTCCCCCTTTAAAAAGCAAGGCAAGCTGGGATGTAATTTTAGAAAGTCAGCTATTTTTTAAAGTTATGTTTGGAGTAACAAAAGTGAGATTTGAGGGAATGGATATTTAATAGCCATTCTGCTATTAAAAAGTTATGCTTATGTATGTTAAAGCTTGACATCTTTGAATAATGGAGTTGGGCTTAAATACCATGCCTCCTGTTTTTCAGCATGTGCTGTCCAATACAGTAGCCATATGTGATTCTTGAGTACTTAAAATACTTGAAATGTGGCTAGTCTACATTAAGATGTGCCGTAAGTGTGAAATACACATCTGATTTTGAAAACTTAGTATGAGAAAGGAATGTAAAATATCCCATTAAAATTTGTATACTGATCAGTATTGAAGTCATATTTCAAATATCTTGGATTAAATAAAATATATTACTGGAATTTATTTCATCTGTATCTTTTTCATTTTTTAAATGTGGTTACTAATAAATTTAATGGTACATATGTGGCATGCACTGTATTTCTTTTGGACAGAGTTGTTCTAGGGAGAATCCTATATCAATGCAACATGAGGATCTCAATTTAAATAAGATTTCAGAAAACAGGGAGTTATTCAGCAGTGCAATTCCCAGAGAGTTCAACAAACCCAACTCAGGGATTAGGCAATAGGCAAAACATGCCAATGTCTATATGTTTATGGAAGCTTTCAACAACCTCCAAATCGTCATTATTGTCATCATCATTGTCATCACCTCTTCTGTGTGTCACTAACACTTGGAATCTCTTTAAAGGGAAACAAAGCACTTTGGTCTACACTGTGACCAAATGGTGAAAAAATTAAAATCTTTTGAGAAAGGTAGCATTTTAATTTCAATTTTCACTGTGGTGCAAAACCATCAGATAATTATATAAGAGTAGGCTTTATCAGAGAGGAGAAAGTAAGAGGGCACTGAAAAATGAAAGAGAAAGTGAATGAGAAAGGGCATAAAAAAAGACTAAGTTTAAAGCAATGAATTCAAACTGCTTCTTAATTTGCCTAATCCCATTATATTATGTAAATGAAAAAAAACTAGCTTTTTGTGGACTAAAGGGGCAGCCTATGCAAGTTTTCCAAGCAATGACAAAGCAAGAAAGATACATCTCAAATGTGATATTTAAACCAACTGTAGATACAGATATAGATATATATATATAAAATTTAACAAACCCAACATCACTATGTACTAGAAATTGTCAGAAGTACTTTATCTGTATTAACTCATTTAACCCTCATTCCGACTCTATGAGGTAGGTTACATAAGTTTCTTTATTTGACAGAGAGAGAAAAACGGGATTTGAACTTAGGCAGTCTAACCGTAGAGTCTGTGTGTTTAATCACTATAACACACTACTTCTCTCTCAGAACCATTTGAAGAAATATTTCTCAGTGTCCCTCAAGACATTTTGATACAGAATATTGGGACAAATCTGGAATCTGCTATTTTTAACAACCTGCTTGCGTACGTAAAGGCTGGGAGCCACCACTAATTCCAGAGCTAAATGTAAAGTGTATTCCTGCAAAGACTCTGCATCTCACTAACTCGATGACCTCAAGCAAACATAGGGTAACTTCTCAGCATCAATCTCTTCTCATATATACATTGAGGACACCAGACTTGTTAGTAAAAAACATCGAACTTGCCTCAAATTTGAGAAAACTGGCATAGCTTTTTCCATATGGTATTATAATATTTTTAATAGTATTTTTTTGAGAATCTTCTCAAAGATGCTTGATGAAAAGCAGAACTTTATTTGGTATCTCTACTAACTGGCCTTTATCTGACACCGTCAAGAAATGGAACATGTTACCTGGTACACCTGCCAGCATCAGACAACGCTTCTTATCTTATTAGTTGTCTATGCATGGTATTTCTGGGAGATGGTTCTGAACAGTTCTGACGTAGATTTAATCCCATACAACTGATAAAGACATAGCTGTTTTACAGGCCTGCCTGTGAAATAAACCATTAGTTGGTATGTAGCTATGTCTGTTTATATAAATATTCCTATCCTTGATATATGAGCTTCCTCCCTTTAAGCCTTCTTCAAGGTATTATATTCATTTATTTCCTTGCAAGCTCCCTCCTTAAAGAGATTAAATACATATTTGATGCTCGCTAAAGATTAGTTTGTTTAAAAGATCCTGGCCAGGAGCAGTGGCTCATGCCTGTAATCCTAGCACTCTGGCAGGCTGAGGAAAGAGGATTCCTCTAGGTCAGGAGTTTGAGACCAGAGCCTGAGCAAGAGCAAGATCCTGTCTCTACTAAAAAATAGGAAAAATTAGCCAGTCAACTAAAAATGGAAACAAAAAATTAGCCAGCATGGTGGCAAGCACCTGTAATCCCAGCTACTCGGGAAGCTGAGGCAGAAGATTGCTTGAGCCCAGGAATTTAAGGTTGCTGTGAGTTAGGCTGACACCACAGCACTCTAGCCTAGGCAAGAGAGTGAGATTCTGTCTCAAAAACATTTTTTTAAAAAAATTCTGCTTATTTTGGAAATTTAAATGAACTCATAAATTATGAAAAGATTTATAAACTGCAAAACTTTACACAAAACTACTTATCAATATTATTATCATTTAATCTTCTCTTTGTCTCAATTTTTTTCATCTGTAAAATAAAGAGATGGGTTCTGTGAACTATTATTATAGAGTCTTTATTCAAAGAAATTATGTGGTTCAGAGTAAGTGAGAAGTACAAGCAAGAGGATGGAAAAACCTCTGTTTATTAGTGTTAGTTAGTTATTAATACTAATACAAAGCACCTCCAACAAAGCAATGTACCTCTGAAAATGATTCCATCTCACACCATGTAACACTCCTTATGGCTAAAGCATATACATGATTTAATTATACATGTAGAAAGACTAAATAATACAGACAGCTTCTGTAATGATATCAGAGTACACATCATCAGTTTCTTACAGAGGCTACTATTGATGCCTGACTCTTAGATTCTGAGTCCCTTTATAGATGGCTGAGATCTACTCAACTCTTCTTATATAAACAGACTTCCTGGACCCCTTATATTTTTGTCTAATCTGAAGTATCTACCTAACACTTGAAACCAGCCTACCTCCATTAATCCTATTTAAATGGAGGTAGTAACGTTTAAGAAAAAGTGCCAATGAATGAAGCTAATGTGGAGGTAGGGGTAGAGAGTGGCAAGGACCAGAAGACCCTTTAGAAAAAGAAATCCAATGATTAAGATGCACTGAAATGGAAAGATAAAGATAATGCACTGAAAGGTAAAGATCTATGGGAAGTGGTGAGGGTGGGAGGGTTTTTCCAGAAAAATCTCATAACTAGAATTTTTAAAAGAATAGGCTCTTGTAAGGAAGACAAACTTAAATACACTAAAAGGTGTGCTTAATTAAATCAGATATCTCAAAACTTTGGCATCAGGTGGAGTGGGGATAAGAAAAATTGAGAACTTCTGGTGTAGAACATTATGAATGAATAACAATACATATATCAATATGCCAATTTCGTGCCTACAGATATTTCCAAAACATAGTGAAGATTGAATGGAAAACTGCCAGCTACTCTCTTCACATCCCCTTTCCCCAATACCTGAAAAGTTTGCTGCTCTTTTCAGAGCTTCTTGGAGATTCAGGTTCTGGTGGCGAAGTTCCATTTGCTCCTTGGATTTCTCATCCAGCTTCCGGGCGAGGGTTTCGATCATTTCCTTGAGTTCTCTTTGTGATTCCTTGGAAGCTTCTTCTGCCTGTCGCTGAGCTAAGCTCTGTCCCTCCAGTATATTTTCCTGGTGAGTCAGGTTTGCTTGCTGTTGCTTTAGGAGGTCAGACACCTGCGATACTAAATTACAGCTGAATTAAGACTCCATTTCCAATCCCGATGAAAATCCCTACACTGGATTTTGAAGAAATGTGGAAATCAAAATACAGACTCAAATAATCTATTTTGACAACAGATAAGCTGCTGGAAAACAACCAAGGGTTACTCAGAAATTATGGATTTGGAAGTTATTCAATATTCCTGCAATATTTTTCTCTTACTGTCAGGAACTTTGCAGAAACTTCTGATTAAAAAAAAAAATTACCAGGATTTTATTTTTTAGTTAGAGTTACACACAAGTTAAAAGTAATTAATCACCAGATAAGTAGTATACCTATGGAATAAATAAAATACACACAACCTAAAATAGACACCCACTAGACTCAGTGGCTATGAGTAGGAGTTGTCATTAGTAATTCACACTATTTGTGTCTTAATTCCTCTGTTATATCTCCTCCCATTCTGTCTACCCTTCCAGACTTCCTAATTTTATTTAAGAACTGTGAGACTCACCCCTTTTTTCAGACAGCCACCCACAGAATTATTATAAGTTACTATGTCACAAAGTCTCCTTGCCCTTTTTTCTTTTTGCTTTCTTTGGCCATAGTACATTGTAAGAAGGGTGGAGATGACTGAAGGTTGTGAAATCAAGCAGGAAATGAATGTTAAGGGTCAAATATCTCAGTTCCAGAATTTTGATGGAGTAATACAAAGCGGACCACTTGTTTTGAAGACCAGATTTGACCCTGTTGTAAGATAATCAAAGCCTTGGAGGAAGACCGTTCCAATCACTGCCACTGAGGCATGGGCACTTCTCCCAGTCATTAGGAAAGGCCCTAAGACAGTGTTCACAGATTGAAAATAAAATAGTTTGTAAACGTGAATAATTGAGATGTAAATAGCACTTCAAAGGCTAAAGGTCAAAACTCAATGAGAGCTAAATATTTATTTTTTTTACTTTTGTATCTCTCAAATTATCTTGTGGATTAGTAATTTAAAATTATTTTCTTCTCTATCATTCTAGAATGTAAAATAGGCTCTATCCATGAAGTAAGGAAAACAAAGCCAAACAAAAAACCCTACCATTTATAACCCTCATTTCACGCCTCGGATGAACACTATGCACCCATTCATCTTCCCACTCTAAAAACATTTTGCCTAAAATGAATCTAAATTAGGGCCAGGCCCGGTGGCTCACGCTTGTAATCCTAGCACTCTGGGAGGCCGAGGTGGGCGGATTGCTCAAGGTCAAGAGTTTGAAACAAGCCTGAGCAAGAGCGAGACCCCGTCTCTACTATAAGTACAAAGAAATTAATTGGCCAACTTATATAGAGAGAAAAAATTAGCCGGGCACGGTGGCGCATGCCTCTAGTCCCAGCTACTTGGGAGGCTGAGGCAGGAGGATTGCTTGAGCCCAGGAGTTTGAGGTTGCTGTGAGCTAGGCTGATGCCATGGCACTCACTCTAGCCTGGGCAACAAAGCAAGACTCTGTCTCTAAATAAATAAATAAATAAATAAATAAATAAATAAATAAATAAATGAATGAATGAATGAATGAATGAATGAAATGAATCTAAATCAAGGCTGTTTGTTACGAAAAAATTTATAAACCAGTGTATAAACCTCATATCCACCCCTTATCATTTCCGTATTTCAGCGCTTACGTTGTATCCCCAGCAGTACAATGGTCACCAGTGATCCCAGGCAAAGGATCCCAAAAGTCACAGCAGCCAGGCACCACCATGGAGATAGAATCAGAAAGGCAAAAAAAGGATGGACATGCAATCAAACCCTTCTTCGGATTCTGTCTGCACTTGGTGTTCTGTGTTCCTTGCCCCTGGTCCTCCTAGTGGCTCTGCAAATAATCCATGACACACAGTTACAAATGAGAAATACAGGCAGTTAAAGAATTTAAGTACTTTACCCATGGTCACATAACTGGTAAATTTCAGAGCCAGGATTCAACACCAGATATCTGACTCTGAATAGCTGATTCTAAATCTTATACTTTGTATACTCTTCCTACAATGACTCTTCCAGAAATTCTTAGAGCAGCTTGACTGGATGAACTTCATCCATAGTTCAGAGAACCCAGTGTTTTCAATATAGATTGTGTGTACACATACACAGTGTGCTTTATAAATAATGTCAACAAATGTCAGGCCGGGCGAGGTGGCTCACGCCTGTAATCCTAGCACTCTGGGAGGTTGAGGCGGGCAGATCGCTCCAGGTCAGGAGTTCGAAACCAGCCTGAGCAAGAAGGAGACCCTGTCTCTACTATAAATAAAAAAAGAAATTAATTGGCCAACTAATTTATATAGAAAAAATTAGCCGGGCATGGTGGCGCATGCCTGTAGTCCCAGCTACTCCAGAAGCTGAGGCAGTAGGATCACTTGAGCCCAGGAGTTTGAGGTTGCTGTGAGCTAGGCTGACGCCACGGCACTCATTCTAGCCTGGGCAACAAAGTGAGACTCTGTCTCAAAAAAAGAAAAAAAACAAAAACAAAAACAAATGTCAGACATCAAGCAAATAAGCTTTAGTCAGTTAATCAGCTGAGATTCCCTCAAAGAATTTTATGCATACTTTTATGCTATCCACTTTTTATTCAACTAATATTGCATCTTGGGACTGAGGTGACAAAGAAAAATAGGAATGAAACCTCAATATTCATCTAGCTTATATGTTAGGTGAACATTATGTTCTATACTCATGCCAAGTGTGGGCCTGTTTTTATAAGGGAAAAATGCACCACTTTTATAAAAGTAAATAAATTATGTAGCTCACAGATGTATGAATATCTAATTATGTGTTCCACCACTGAAAAAAAAATACAGATATTATGGTTCAGCAGGAAAACATCTCATACAATGTATTTGTTTTACTAACCTTGTGAGATAAACAAATACAGTGCTGATATTGTCACCCTCTATGTACACATTAAGGAAACAGGTTCAGTGACTTGCTTAAGATCACACAGATGCTAAAACCCAAACATAGGTCTTTAATCTAATTGTCAGTAGCTACGTGACTTGAAACATTACATAACAAAATTTCCCATGTGAATGTGTCATGATCCAAGTCAATCAATGGTCAAATATATTCACAGAGTTTTCATGTGTCAAAAGCACTGTGTTAAACTCTACAGAGATAAAAAGAAAATAGAAATTGGACATAGAGGATATGGTTCGTTCTCTGATTAAGTAGTTACTGGCTTTTAGAATGTGTGTATGTGGCAAGCTGGCAGAGAAGAAGTAGAAAATCCTGTGTTTCTTGCAAATAATTGCCTAATTCCTGTGTATATCTTTCAACCAACTTTTTCCTCTGGTCAGTGTTCCTTCCATATTATAGGACACCAAGTATGCCCATCACCCTAGAATGATGAAAAACTTCTAAATTGTTAAAAGAAAAAAGTAACAGGACCCACACCTATGAAAGAAAGGTAAATGTTCCCATTTTTCATTGTACCCCCTTGGGAGGCTAAAGCCATTAATTCAACTGCCATGCCTACTGGTGATTTTCTAATCAGAAAGCAATCAGATCCTTTGTAGTAGGTAACTGATCTAATCAGGATTATGGAAGAAGAATCAATTTCATAGTTACAGCAAAAATCAGGCACTGAATATTTACTACACAAATAATGAACGATTGAACAAATGACTATTGTTAACTTCTAGCTCTACCTATAAATGCCAACACTGTCTTTATACCAATTTAGTTCATTAGCTCAAATGTTAAATTATACTATGCTCACACTTATTTTTCATTGAGAGAAATTTCCATCTTGTTTATGGAAACATGATATAGAGTTTCTTTATCTGAACTTCTGAAAATACTCAGCTGTCTTGCCTTCTTTATATTTTGTTCATTTTCTCAGAATAGATATAAGATAAAGGTAATTTATCCAGGTGGTCTGCGAAATTGGAATTGTGAATTAATTTATACCTATGCAGTTTAGTTTACTGTATATGTTGGGCAAAAATTGTAATTTTCAAGGCAGTGATACACAATAAGATGTAACTTATCTAACTGAAGGGCACACTTATAACTTCCACTCAAACTCTACAAAGCAAATTATGTAACCAAAACATGTGTACCCTGTAAAATTCTGAAATAAAAAAAAGTAACTTGCATTAAATCATAATAAATATTATTTAAACATACTTTGGTCAATACATAAGATATTTTAGGTTTTTGCAGTACCTCAGAGATACTTATAAAAATCACTTGTACAAATTATAAAAATTATACACTTATAAAATTGTGCACACTGGGTAAAGTCACTTCCTGAACCTTCTGATGTGATGGATTGGATTCTGGACAAATGGACACAATCTTAGCTCTGTCACTGATTAACTCCATAAACATGGGAGATTTGTTAGTTCTCCTGATCCCCAGCCAGCCCTCTATAAAAGGGAGATAATAACAGTACCAAACTCACAGTGTTATTGTGCAGATTCAGAAAAATAATGCATTTAAAGTGACTAGCAGAAAGAATAACCTATAGTAAATTAATTGTCTTTGTCATCATCATCATCACCATTATATCCTACTTGATTTTAAATAAACAATATTAATTCTATTACATTTTCCCATACTTATGTGCTTTAGCTTTCTAATCCCATTCTTCAGTGAATTTATGTTTTGGGGTTAAGACTGGGATTCTGTTCCTGTACACATGTACCCACCCCCAGTACCTTTAGCTTTCTGTCCATTTGACTTCTCATCAGCCTGGTCCTCCATAGGCTTGGTCTTGAAGTCATCAAAAGTCATTTCCAAATTCATACCAAGAGTGAGAGAGTGAAGCAGTCAAGAACTTCAACAGAATAAAAATGTGTGAACTTCTGCTGGAGCATTTAAATAGCTACTCTTATCTAATAGAAGCGTGACTCAATCATTGGTAGGAGGAAGGGGAGGCTTTGCTTCATATTGGGAAGTTGGCTGACGCAAATTCTTGTGTTATGTCTATTGCAGGTGGAGAAAGTGGTGATTCTCATGGTGTTTCAGGATATTTCACTAAGTAATTTATGAAAAGGAAAACTGTATTTTCCACAACCATTAGAGAAGAGGCATTGTACCCATTCTTCAGATAAAGAAACTAAAATTCAAAATGAGTAAGTTGCACTAAATTTGTGAAAGAGTGTACCAGATCATTTGATTCTAATGTTTGCTAATTTCACTTTAGCAGACTGTCTCTATATGTTGTCTTTTATAAGGCATACATTTTCCTCTTTAATTTTCATTGTGTTAATTGGCAACAGACTAATTAGAATTGGTCTTAAGAATTTTGGGGTAAATCTCATATGACACCCATTTCCAGCAGTGGTGTCCTGGGTAACTGAAGAATTTGATTGAGGTCCTGGATCACACAGTGGCAGCATAACATAGCAGCAGAAAGCACTTTGAGACTATATACAGCTAGCTTCAAATCTTTCCATTGGTCTATAATCTTGAGAAATTACTTAACATTCTGAATTTGTCTTTTTGACTATAACTAATGATAAGGTCTACTTGATCACGTTGCTAAAAGGATTCAAATGAGATATTGGGTGAAACTGACAAGCTTTGTACTTGGAGCATAAAGAACTCAATAAATAATAGTTATTACTGTAGTAGTAATATTCAGCCCAGTTGAATTACCCAGCACAGAATACATTTTAGCCAAACCAGTGATTGACTTGTGTCACAATGACTCTTCCATGGGATCCCCATAAGTGCTTCTATACGTATTCACTGATAGAATATTCACCTATTTTCCCTTCATAACCTCCTAACCAGATATATATTATTGAAGTTATATGTGCTTTGTAAAAAAAAAAAAAAGTTTTATGTATTATATTAGAGATGTCTTCTGGAGTATTTATGAGCAAAATGATATGATATCTGGGATTTTCTTTAAACTACTCCAGGAAAAAATAAGAAGGAAAGAACAAAGACAAACAAAGAACAAAGACAAACAAGAACAAAGAACAAAGACAAAAGAAGAATGGAAAAGTAAATAAATAAATAAAGTATCTAGGAAACGATTAGGAAAAATCACCAATATTGACAGCCTAATTAGTATTCTATTTCCCTCCTCCTCCCCTCTAAGTTTTCTGTATTCTCTTTTTCTTTCTTTTCTTTTATTTATTTATTTATTTATATTTTTGCTCTGTCAATACTGGTCTGCCGTATGTATTCTCTTTTTCTGTGCAGGGTATGTTAAGATCAAATTGAAAAAGTTTATCTGTCATTTAAAGTTTTACTCTATCACACAGTTCTGGAAAAAAAATTCAAAATGTAGCAAATACATCCTAGTCAAATGTTTGTAGCAAATCAATGTTTCTTACCTTTATCACCCAAGCTTGATTTCCTTAACTGGAATTTCAGGAAGCAAGATCCTGAATGGATACATTTCTGCACTCACAATGGTGACTTTCACATAAACATAAGCTCAGGAGATTTCTTTTAATAATAAATTAATAAATGCCAAAATGATATCACATTGAAAAGAACACATTATCATTTCCACAGTGACTCCGTTATTTTAAATGCCATTAATATTACACAGCATAAAGTGTTTACCATATTAACCATTTTTAGTTGTATTGTTTAGTTCCATTTTACACTGTTGTGCACCCATCACCACCAATCTTCTCCAGACATTTTCATTGTCCCCAGCTGAAACCTTGTTCTCAGTAAGCAATAACTCTTGTGATGGTGAATTTCATGCTGTCTTGACTGGGCCATGGGGTGCCCAGAGAGGATGTTTCTAAATACGATTAACATATTAACCCTTTGCACTCAGATGTCAAGTGTGGATAATGTCGAGTGGATAATGAGAAAAAAGCAAGCGAGTACAAAGGGTTAATCAGTACAGGAGATTCCGTTCCATAGTATGGGTGGGCCTTATCCATACGTTGAAGGCCTGAAGAATAAAACAACTAATCTTAAGTAACAAAAAATTCTCCAGCAAACAGCCTTTGGCCTGGAGCTACACCGTCAGCTCTCTTGGTCTCCCCCTGCTGGGTTTTGGACCGGAATTGTGCCATTGGCTTTCATGGATCTTGAGTTTGGCAACTTGCATTGTAGATTTTGACTTGCCAGACTCTGTAGCCATGTGAGCCAATTCTTTATAATAAATCTCTTTCTGTATATGTATACATCCTACTGATTCTGTTTCTCTGGAGAGCCCTAACTAATAGAAATCACCATTCCCTTCTCCTCCCCTGGAAACCACCCTTCTTCTACTTTCTGCTTCTATCAATTTGTCTACTCGAAGTACCTCATATAAGTAGAATCACATAACATTTGTCCTTTTGTGTCTGACTTATTTTATTTACTATAATGTCTTCAAAGTTCATCCGTGTTGTAGCATGTGTCAGAATTTTCTTCCTCTTTAAGTCTATATAATATTCCATTGTATGGATGAATCACAATTTGTTTACTCATTGATGGACATTTGGGTTTCCCTGGTCTTTAAATATCAAGGGGGATAGTTCCTACAATCCTTTTGTGGCAGATTGCTGGGCAGACTTACAAGACTTGAGGAGGCTCCCATCGTCCCTGCCTCCCGGTGTTCATGATCTTATGTAATCTCTCTCCCTGGAGTGTGAGTGGGACCTGTAACATGGAGTGTGACAAAGGTTATGGAATATACATGATCATGTATATGTGCTTACATAATGCAAAGTAACTATTATGCTAAAGTCTCTTTCTCTGCCTCTCCTACCTTCATCTCTGTCTATTCCTATGTCTACATTTAAAGAAGCAAGCTTACATGAATCCTACAGCTACAAAAAAAAATGAATTCTGCCTGAGGGAGCTTGCAAGAGAACCCTTCCCCCGGTGAGACTTTAGAGGAGAATGCCACCAAGCAGCCACCTTGACTTCAGCCCTGTGAGACTGTAAGCAGAGCACCCAACTAAGCTGTGCCCATCCACAGATACTGTGAGATAATAAATGTATGTTGCTTTACATTATTGCTGACATAATTTGTGGTGATGTGCTACACAATGTATAAACCCAATACATCCCGTGATAAACTGAACACTCCTGTCTTGTTTAACTCCTTTAAATCTAATCATCTTACTGCCTTTCAGTGCTTCTGAAGCTGCCACTCAATACCTATGCTGTGATCTTGGTTCGTAAGACAGACACGTTTCCTCGCGGAGCTCCCAGGGTTTGTAAGATGAAACTTCTTCTGTCATATTATCTGCTTTTGAAGGCATGGCTGTGGCTCTACCCAGTGCTCAGCTCTTTATAGCTTGAGGTTGATGCCTCAAAATAAATTAGTCCATTATTTCACCATTTATTTCACCAAAAAAGAAAAAAAAAATAAAATAAAATAAAAATAAATTAGTCCTGGCCTCTATTTTATTGAGGCACAGAGAGAAAAGAAATCCATGGTGGGCCACCTGCCTTAGGAAAGGTCAAAAGGAGAATGATCGAAGCAATCAGAAATAAGTAATTTCTTTGGCTACACTTGTCACAGCAGTTGTATAACAATTCCCTGAAGCATAAGTGTAGAGGTCTGTGTACATGCACCCTCCACTGGTTCCACTCCAATTCCTTAACAAGCTGGGTATAAGCTAATGATTCACAAGCTTAATGGAACTACACAAAATTGTATAGAATTGTAATGAGATTGCTCCCCTCTGCCCCAGCTACCTGCCCTTCTGTACCTGTCTAGTGTGTACTTTCTTCATTCTTCTCACCTGAATTCTCTCTCTTTTCTCATCACTCCCTACTTGAAGGCTTTGATAGGGACTGAACTTAGAGTTAAAATTGCCACAAGTCATAATCATGTTCATTACAATGATTTCTCCAGGGAATAATCTGGTGAGAAAAAAGAAATGGCAATAGTAATTCTAAGAAAGAAAAGCCACAAGAAGATCATTAACTGAACCCTATTTTGTTCAAACCTGTTAGGAAGCTGGAGGGCAAAAAGATGATGGCAATCACATGGCATGAAAGTGCAACGGGGGAGAGGGAGTGGGGGAGTCATGCAAACTGGCAAACCTGTTCAGACAGGTGAAGGCTGGCATGGCTGGGAGAAGAGATGGCCAGGCTAGCAAGGCAAAGGATCCAAGAATCGGAATATCAGAAAAGCTAAAACGTGGTCTGGGAAGGGATTGGTGTAAAAATGTACATGAGAGGCATAAAAGACAGTAATTATCCAGCATATGGGAAGTAAAGGTCATGGTCAAAATCGATGAAAATTAATATAATCTTAGCTAACATATAAAATATCTGTTATCAGGACTGTTATACACATTTTATACATATTATTTAATCTTTCTAAACTTATGAAGTAACTATTATTATTAATACCCCCATTTTATATGAAACGAATAAGCCAACAGAGAGCCCTAATAACTTGCTCAAGGTCACACAGTTCATAAGTGACAAATCATATGTTTAATCCCAAGCATCCTAGCTGGGCCCTTAGCCATGATGTGCCACTCTCTTTCTGACAAGAACAAGAGAAGATGCAAAATTTTCTCCCATTCTGTAGGTTGTCTGTTTACTTTCATGACTATTTCTTTGGCTGTGCAGAAGCTTTGTAGTTTGATCATGTCCCATTATTATTTGTTGCTACTGTGATTGCCTTTGGGGACTTCTTCATGAACTCTTTGCCTAGGCCCAAGTGGATACATAGGTACTACAGTCATAGGGTATTGGCACGTGAGGGGGTGGGGCGGTATATACATACATAATGAGTGAGATGCCACATCTGGGATGGTCATGCTGGAAACTCAGACTTGTGGGGGAAGGGGGGAAAGGGCATTTATTGAAACCTTAAAATCTGTACCCCCTTAATATGCCGAAATAAATAAATATATATATATATATAATAATAAAAAAAAGAACAAGAGAAGAGGCCGGGTGCAGCAGCTCAGCCTATAATCCTAGTACTCTGGGAGGCCAAGACAGGAGGATCACTTGAGCTCAGGAATTCGAAACCAACCTGAGCAAGAGTGAGACCCTGTCTCTACTAAAAATAGAAAGAAATGAGCTGAATAATAAAAATATGTAGAGAAAAAATTAGCCAGGCATGGTGACACATGCCTGTAGTCCCAGCTACTCCGGAGGCTGAGGCAGGAGGATCGCTTGAGCCCAGGAGTTTGAGGTTGCTGTGAGCTAGGCTGACGCCAGGGCACTCTAGCCCCACAACAGAGTGAGACTCTGTCTCAAAAAAAAAAGAACAAGAGAAGGAAAAGTTCATGATTCTTCCCATGTACATGCCACTCTTAATAGAAATATTCAATTCAAAATGCTTTCGTGTCTCTAATTTTTGTTCTCTATGAAACAACATCTAAAGCAGGTCAAGTGGACATTCCACTCCTGTTTTATACATGGGAACATTAAGGATTGGAGAAACTACATAAGAATTTTAAGGGGGGGGGGGCAAGAACTAAACTCCTGCTTTTTTTGTCCTATAAAATACTTTCCACCTTACCCAGTTTTCTATTGAAATTTGAAAATATTCTTCACCCTTATTCCAACTGCCTTACTTTAAAAAAAAATAAAGAATGTCAATGCTCACTTAATTTTGAAACTGATGGATTTTAAATCACCAGTGTCATAACAGGCTATTCTTTCACTATTTGTTTGCCTTAACCGGGAAAAAAGATTAGATTCTCCATTCTCATATCACCTTGTCATGTTGTGGGCAGGCCCCGAGAGTGTGATCAAACCCACCCAATAGTCTCCCCTCCACAATCACTCAGTGTAATTAGACTTTCAGAATTAGAATGGGTCTAAAAGGTAGTTTTATTCAATTCTTAGGAGACAGGTATATCGCTATGAACTAACAGCTAATTTTCTTACAAAAGGTTTCGCATTAATGGATTACCTACTTAAGTATAAATCATTCATATGGTATTCTTTTGTTCCTAGGGATATGTTTCTTTACAAATATTCTATGTCCTTTCCATGTGTACTTAATTTTACTCAGACCTTAGGTTTTATTTTCATGAGTGGCAGGGTTTATTTCTCTATCATACCACTACGTTACCAAAGAGAGAGAGAGAAGAACAAAGAAGGAAACAGGGGAAAAAAACAAAGAAAGAAACAAACATACAAATCTTGGAATCTAGTTTTAAAAAACTCTGTCTGACTGTGTAACTTATCTGTTTCAATGGGAACTGAAGTCAGAGTGGAGGAGGATGTCATTGAGGAGGAGGATGTCATTGATAGCATCTGGAAAGTCTAATCCTCAAACCTGCTTTCTCCAAAGATGGGATGTCTTTCCTGTTCTTTTGGCAACCTCTCAGTCCTACCCCAGTGGTTAGGGATAAATGACCCAGAACCAGGAGAGTTGATGATCAACACAGTGCAGGGGAAGGCTTCAGGAGCAAGAAGGGGGTGTTAATCACGTGGAGGGGGGGTGAAAAGAGATTGGCAGGGTGACTTTCAATCCCCAACAGTTGCCCTGGAGCACTCTGGTGAAGGAGCAAGACTGTTTCCAGTTTTCTGATGAAGAAGAGAACATATTTGGTCACCAGCAACCTGCCTCGGACCTTCCTCCAAGCCAAGTTTCTCATCACTGACTAGAAAAATCCCTCATCCAGAGGACAGATGGGTCCTCCTTGAATGTCCTCCTTTTGGGAGCAGTGGGAGAAAGTTAAACATGTAGGAAGAATTGATAGTGGAAGGGAAGGACAGAAGGCAAAGGGAAGCAAGTGTGGAGACCACAGACACAGCAATAGAGAAGGGAACCAGGAGCCACGGGGAGAGAAAGGCCATAGAGAACCACAGCCAGAGGGAGTAGGAGGAGAAAGACAGAGAGGGAGGGAAGGAAAAGCTGATTAATTGCTGAGAAAAGTTTCTCTCCTTAAGAATTCTAGGCCAGGAAGTCAAACATGGCACAGAGCATGGAAAGGAGGGAACAGACACCCAGACCCTGAAGGAGCAGGAGTTCAGCCTGATGGGAGCCCAAGCCCTTGTCCTGATGGCCTCTGTCCTCCTGCATTTCATCCTGGTGAGTTTCTTGTGAAAAGGCAGGAAGAAGGCATTTTTTTTCTCTTCAGGGTAACAACGCTCAGAAAAATCTGGGAGGAAATGGATTGGGTGGGGAGTGGGGGCAGACATGTGGAGAATCCGGGAGGTAGTGGAGAGCTGAGTAATTGCGATGTTTCCTTAGTATTATGGGGTTATACAGATGCCTGTGTGCCTGTTGGCAATGCCAAGGAAAAGTGGCACAGAAATTAGGTTAACCATGGATACGAGCAGGATAGTTGTGGTACTTTAGAAGAGTCACTTATGTAAATTTCTCTCTTTTAGCATGTTATCATCCATCCCTCAAAATCCCCAAGTAATTTATAAAAACTAACTACGATTCCACTAAACAGAACTTCCCACATCAGCCATAATATGATTTTAGCAGTTTAGGTACCTCCAGTCCGGAAATGTTAAAAGAAGGAGGACTCTTTAAAAATACTTTAGAAAGTTATCTATCGGGTACAGTGAACTCTATTCTGGTGACAGGCACGCTAAAATCCCCAACTTAAGCATCATACAAGGTATCCATGTAACAAAAACTTTGTACCCCCTTAACATTTTGAAGTAAGAAATAAAAATACTTTGGGCCCTTTATTTCTCCCTACAATGAATTGGAAGCCCCTGAATAATCTATTAGCTGAGAAAGAGGTCACTGAACTAAGGGATCCTGGACAATTGTCAAGGAGAAGTTTGTGTAGCTGTGAAATCTAGCAAGGGGGACAGCAAATGAAGAAGCTGAAGGGTGTATTCCTGTATAGCTCTTGTGCAAAATGGGCTGTTTTCTTCATATATACCAGTTAAACTGATATCTGAGAATGCACTTTTTTCTTTTTCTTATCTTTTCTTATGGCTTTCTTTTCTCTTCCTTTTCCTTCTATTCCCTTCATTTCTCTTTTCGTTTCTCTTTGCAACAAGCATGAAAAGCGGCATTTTATCCATTGTGTACTTTAGGCTTCTCTTAACTTTAGTGAAGAAAGTGAAACAAAGTATCAGGGTCATTTGGAGGAAATACACAGTTTGTCATCTTTAGTAGCAATCTATTTTAAATAAAAACAAAAATTAATAACCAGAAGTTTCTCAAATGTTACTGCAGAGGGTAGCTGGCATGTTAATACTTTTATAAATTCCTTTCACCTGATAGGTCTTGAGTATGTGTGTTCTCTGACCCCCAGTATCCCACCATAAACTCCCAATAGGTACAAATCTCTGTGCCTCTTTTAATGGCCTTTGTTATTGCTTTTATGAGCTATCAGGTCATTCAAGGTATTGGATGACCAATACAGCTTCTGTAATTAAGTTTATGTAGAGGGGTCTTTGAAGGAGGAAGTCAGCCTGAAATATAAGGTAGAAGAAGGAGTGGAGAGGTTTTTTTACAAGGAGTAGAAGGGATTTGATATTAATGTCAAGGAGTTGTTAGAGCAAACTCCAGTTCTATTAATTCATTCAACACATACTTTATATGATCGAGTTGGCTTCGAATTCTGGCTATATCAATAGGTGTCTATAGGTGGACATATTACTTAAATCTCTGTGCCTTAGTCCCTGAACCTTTCAAAATAAGGTTAAATACAACCACAAAGAGGGTTATTGTGGTTAAATGTCATGCAATACTAAAAATTCTTAGCAGTCTGGCTGGCATATAGTAGCCATTTAATAAATAAGGTCCTCCCACCACCACCACGTTTCCCCTTCTTCTCTTGTGTGGTAAGTGACTGTCATACTCGGGATGAAAAAGGGCAGCAGGCCAGAGTTCAGCAGGGCAGGAATTAGGACGACAATGATGACATCCCAAGGGACAGATCAGGAATTTTCTAGACAAACATTTTGATATAAATGGCTGCCTCTCATGCTCACTCATACCCCAAAACCACATTAGATATTCCAGGTTCCCTCACCTCAAGAGCAATAGCCCCCAGGCATGGGAGAGGTGAAGATAACAGTCCTGAATGTGGACTGACCCTATGACCGCGTCCTCATCTTTATCAATTGATCTAACACAGCACAGCTATGAAAGATGATTAGTAGGCAGTTGCACACGGCAGACGAGATGATTTCCCTGTCTGAGACTATTTCCCTTCCTACAGCTTCCTGGGTCAAGATGTGAAGAAAACTGTGGCAATCCTGAGCAGTAAGTATCAGAGTTCAAGCTGCAAGCAAGGAGGAACAGACAGAAACATTAATACCCCGAAAGGGGTCAAGATGTCATTAGCTATCTGTGACTTCCCTTTACTCGTTTTTACTTGAATGGGCATCCGCCTACTAATCTCATAGATGGGTTGTCACAAAATAAAGACATGTGTTTGTGTCATCCTAAATTCTCAAAATAACACTGCAGACAGCATTTTTGCCAACCTTCCCATCAAAGCAACTCAATTAATCTCAAATTATATAGTCATAGAGATTTGGAAAAGATTTTCTTAGCCACGCTTCTCAGTGACTCACCAGGACAGACTGGACTCAATATCTGCTCACTGGTGTATATATTTATTTGGGTGATTTCCGTTGAGTCCAGTCTGTCCTGGTGAGTCACTGAGAAGCATGGTAGCATCACTATTTCAAGTCTGAAAAGCATTTTCTAGTTTTTAATGTATGTTAATATGTATTGAAGACTTCATTTAGGTATCACTTTGATGTAGTTATCCATTAATCCAAACCTGTCACAATTAGGTCTTATGTAGACACAGAGGATATAAGATAAAAACGTAAAACATTCATTTCACTTAGAGGAGCTATAAAATAAAATTTTAAAAAGTAGGGGTAGTTTGAATAGAAGACTTCTTCAGGCTGAAGAAAAACACATATCTAATCATGGAGGGGTTTTCCAATAGCCAAGTTTGTTAAACCCAGGGAAATGGGGATGGTGTCAATTACTTGTCACATGCATGCTGGTTGCTGGCTATGTGACACATGCTATCTGAGGTTTTAGACAGCTACCACCCTAGAAAGAGTCCTAGGAAGAATCAGAATCTAATTAGAACTAGAGGAGCTTTGAACACATGAGGCAGGTGAGAAAACCAAGAGGAGGCATTGTTGAGTGAAAACAAAAAAAAAAACTGTATTTTCTACATATGTGTGAAAATAGATTAATAGATTTCAAAAGATGGATGTATCAGAAAATATTATTAAATGACAAAATGTACTAATCTTCAAAGATACACAGATCCTTTGCTTCCCCTTTCCCTCCAACCTCTGATCTTATTTCACACTCCTCCTATACAATCCTTAATTTTTTCATTCTTCCAGAGAAAATTCACAATTGGCACCCTTAATTCAGAATATTTAGATAGCTTTCATGGTGGCGAAATTGGCTTGGACTCTTTTCCCCTCCCCTGTTTAGTCTCAGTGGATATGCATGTCAGTTTTGAGCCTAGCTGTGAAAACTTAGGGTTCTCCTTATGGTGGGTGTGATATTGTGAAGTATTCAAATGAGGACTGGTCTTCCTCTTAGTTCCTGGCATATCATTCCTAAAATCCTTGGAATCTCCAAAGTAATAAGTATCTTTTAGTATGCTAATGAGTTGACTGGTGGCTGACAGCCCCGGGTAGTTTCAAGAATGAGTCTGATCATATGAAAGACCAACAAGGATTAGAAGGTGGGACTAGTCAGCTCCACCCAACATCCAGGGAAGGAAGAGGGGCTGAGGATTAAGTTGATCACCAATGGGTAATGATTTAATAAATCATGCTTAAGTAATGAAGCTTCCATAGAAACCCAAGAGGACTGGGTTCTGAGAGCTTCTGGATAGCTGAACACTTAGAGGTTCCTGGAGGGCTGTGTACCTGAAGAAGGCATGGAAACTCCACACCCCTTCCCACATGCATTGCTCTCAGCATCTCTTCATCTATATCCTAGATAATGTCCTTTACAATAAACTGATAAATGCAAATGTTTCCCTGACTTCTGTGAACTGCTCTAGTATATTAATGAAAACCAAAGAGGGAGGGTCATGGGGACCTTGACTTATAGCCGGTGGGTCAGAAGCACAGGTGCAACAACCTGGGGCTTGTGAGGGGAGTCTGGGGGACTGACCCCTCAACCTGTGGGATCTGACACTGCCTCCAGGTAGACAGCGTCAGAATTGAATTGAATTAGAGGACACTTAGCTGGTATTCCCCGTGGGGGGATTGCTTGGTGTATGAGGCATACCTCTCTGTATACCACCTCTGGTGTCAGAAGTGTTAGGACAATACAGCAGGAAGAAACTGAGTTTGATTTTCCTGCATTCTCAGTGAGAGTGTTGCAACAGCTTGTGAAACATAAGTTACAAACTTGATTGTGTTGCTTTCATACTTACAACTGAATTTTCCTTTACATTTACATTTTATTGACCTTAACTATATATAAGTCTTAACTTTCATATCCATTTTCAAACCCACTCTTTGTAAACTTACATTCAAGGTCTCTCTTGGTAATTTCCATCATAACTGTTCTTATAGTAGTTATGTATACATTTTCTATGAATATTGTTCATGATACTGCCTTAGTCTGTTTTATAATGATGTACAAAATGATTTGCACAATGCCATCTACAGTATAAAACACTATTTAAGATATCCCACGTCTCGAAGATTCAACTAGTTATATTGAAGTTTAAATAATAAAACCCTAAACTTCTATAATCTGGCTAAAATAAATAAATAAATAAAATAATAAAACCCATGATGCTTTTGTTATAACAAGGTATCCTATCATATTGTAACTCATAGTTCTGAGCCTGGAGTTGTAACATGCATTGACTATATTTTTTAATGTAAAAAACCTTATTCTTTTTTTCATAGTTGCCTGACCACAGACTGGGTACACCTTTGGTATATATGGTAAGTTTTAGCTATAATATCTAGAAAGATACTTTATTTCTCAGGAGCATTAATTTTTTCAAGTTTTTACATATATTGTCAGCAGGAAAAAAAAAATGACAGCCTGCATACTTACTTAGCATGTCATGGAGTAATATTTCTTTACCTCATCACCCACCTATGTGACAATATGTCAGGATTTCCTTTTTCAATACCACCTTCCCGGCCAACATCAAAAGATTATTGTGTCCTTCCCTCTGGGTCTGTTCTAGAACAATCTCTACAGAGGAGATGACCTTAGTGAAGTAAAAAGCAGCCCCTCCAAACCCCCTTCAGTGCCTTGTTATTCGTTCTAGTGAATTCATGTAGTCTGGCTGCACGCTAAGGAGGTATACATGTAAAGTGAAAGCCCTACAGATAAAGTCTTATAGTTATTCTATAGAATATTCAAACGAGAATCAAGATGCAGGCATTAAAGTCCGACTAGGGCAGAGCTGGGCAAGCCGGCGGATCCCAGCGCTCCGCGTCGCGGTGCTCCCGCAGGTTGCTGGTGGTGGCCGCCGCGCTGCTCCTGCTGTGGGGCCTGGCCTCCCTGTGCATCCGCTGCTGCTGCCTGAGTCGCCCGCAAAATGGGGACGAAGGGGGCCCGCCACCCTACGAAGTGACCGTCATCGCTTTCGATCACGACAGCACTCTGCAGAGTACGATCACTTGTGAGTACATCGGCCTTGTAACGTGGGAGAAGGGACCCCCAGATTTCAATGATCAGATTAAGAGGGTACGAAGGTCTAGCGCCACCTACCGGCTGGCCTCGTCCTCAAATATGAGCCTGGCAGGTCACAGAGTGAAAAAAGAAGTGAAATATTGGAGACAACACTGGAAGTGGTTTGTATAAAGAATCACCCAGTTTGTGAATAGTTATTTTTGCTAAAAGTTATTTTAAATTCTGAGAATAACCCTCCTCCAAAATGTCTTGGAGTCTGTGAAAACTTAAATTTTCTATTTATACTGCTTTATATTTTTAAAGAAATTAGTGGTATGTACTTTCTTTATTCTTCAAATCTACACTAGATTTTACCCCCAACAGTACTTTGATGATTATAAGACACCTTTCTTTATCCCTTCCTATTCTATTCTTTATAAATATATTCTTTCCTAAAATTGGGGAGTAAATACCAGGCAGAACACCAGGTGGCAAAACATTTTGATATTTATTTGAAAAAGATAGTAATTTGAAGTGTTGTTGTTCATGTTTTCTACTTCTCTTTCTCACTGTCAGCTTAGAAAAAAGATAAGACAGAATAAATATTACTAAGGAGTCTACAGTACCGGTGGATTGATGGGAAAGGATCTAAGTTTGAAAGGGGAAGGGAGGGGGTTGTAGGATATGGGAACACAATTTATATTATTCAAGGATACCACAGAAGACAGGTTCTTTTGACAGAGCAACAAGTTGGTCTCCAAACAAACTTCACAGGTTTTACATAAAATTTGTGGCAGGGAATGACAATCTATTTGGACACTTGTTAAAAATGAAGGGGTATTAAATGCCTGGGGATGTCACATTCTCTTTATTATTTTTTTTAAATTTTTTTCTGAGACAGGGTCTCACTGTGTCACCCAGGTAAAAGTGCAGTTACATCATTATAGCTCAATGCAATCTCAAACTCCTGGGCTCAAGTGATCCTCCTGCCTCAGCTTCTTGAGTAGCTAGGTCTATAGGCACACACCACCATGCCCAGCTAATTTTTCCTATTTTTGGTAGAGATGGGGTCTCGCTCTTGTTCAGGCTGGTCTTGAACTCCTGACCTTAAGCGATCCTCCCGCCTTAGTCTACCAGAGTGCTATGATTACAGGCAAGAGCCACGGTGCCCAGCCTCACATTCCCTTTGGTTCCTTACCTCTGTCCTCTCTTTCTCCACAGCCCTGCAGTCAGTGTTTGGCCCTGCAGCCCGGAGAATCCTGGCCGTAGCCCATTCTCACAGCTCCTCAGGCCAACTGCCCTCCTCTTTGGACACCCTCCCAGGGTATGAAGAAGCTGTTCACATGAGTCGCTTCACAGTGGCAAGGTGTGGGCAGAAAGCACCTGATCTACCCCCTGTCCCTGAAGAGAAACAGCTGCCTCCAAGGAAGATGGAGTCTTCTGGAGTAGAACACTCTTCAGACTGATGGGAACTGAGATTTTATAAATGGGGGTTGAGGTATCCCCAAAGTCTGTGAGGATTCACAGACAAAGGGAACATTTTCTTTTCTAACTCTCAGAAGTTTTAGGACGACATCTAAACATCATCCTATGGAAAAGATAGGTTCTATAAAAAGTCCTCATGCCCAGCCACTTGTATTTTCTGATACATAATGCTCTAATAGGGGACTCTAATTCTTTATCCAATGGCCAAAATTGGCAACTAACATCCAGCTATGTTGAATACTACCAAATCTTAGCATCATTGTATCTTGAATTCCTTCAACTGTTGACTACTTATAAAATTTCTTTATCCATAAGATAATGCAAGTTGCTTTTCTCTCTGCCAGCTAATAGATTGTGCTAAACTTGAAGAGAAAGCAACATTGTCAGCAGAGCCATCGACTTGGTGCACTAATGCTTGCATCTTTCCTCCTGAGAGAACAGTCAATTTTACACTGAATGACAATGATCATCTTGGACATCATATAATACATACCTGAATATCTAAAACCCAGGGGAGGGATTGCTGGTACAGGCTAAGAGAACACAGTATAGTATTGAAGTGTCAAATATCAAAGTCTTTCTTTCTTCCTTGTCCTATCCACCAGCAGTATGAAAAACTACATAAAAGTGCAGTAACCGTTCAATCAATTCTTCAGTTTCTCTTCCCTGCAAACAGGTACAGGTGCACACAACATGCACCCACGTGCTCATGCACCCTTTTGCAAGACTAAAAGAATAGCATTGATTTCCTTCTTTACTCTTCATGCTTTAACCACTTAAAGCCACAACAGGTCTCTAGTGACACAGGTCTCTAGTGGTGACCCTCACTGCCACCTAGTGGAGCCATGGTAGAAAATATACTTTCCTTTTGGCACATCTACACAACTTTGCAGTTTTGGGAGCACAAACAAGTGCAGAACTCAGCCTGGATGGGATGCTTCCCATGGCACCGTTCTGCTGTGTACTGCTAAGCCACTCACCTAACATACTACCTCCCAAGGTTCTGCTGTTGGAAAATCAAAGAAGTGAAGTGCACTTGGGGAAAAATTACTTGCCTTAAATAAGTCACTGAAATCTTTAAAGCACAGTTTTCTCATCTGTAAAACAGGGGATAATAATACTTCACAGGATTATTGTGAAGATCAGAGAGGCTATTAATAAAAAGTATTATGCACTTGTGTTTGTTACCATCTTACTATAGTCATTTAATCTTCATCTACCTGCTGTGATTCCGCTGAGAGTTATGTTCTGGTTTGTCCATTTGCCAGCCTGCTGTGTTACTGTTAAGTCATACCTGAAGTGGCTTTATGTTATCAATAAATATTTGTTGATTAAGGTAAATGCCAAAGGGTGTAAGTGATTCCTCTTAATATGTTCTGTGTAGAGGTAAGCGATATTTGAGAAAACTCGTTTATTAGGAGCTTAGCTCCAGTACTCAGGGAAGCAATACAGACCAAGGGATTGGATGATCAGTGTATCACCCTGTTCAATGCATTCTTGGAATGCTCACTCAGCCCAGAGGGAAAAAAGTTCTGAGCATAACCCGATGGTGATCTGAACTTATCCTGAGTCATTTATCACATCACCTTGGGAAACTGTTGCAATGTACGAATGGTTAATAGCAGCTGAGGTGGCTTTGTTACACTACTGCCAAATGAATCATTTAGCCATCACACATTCCATAAGGTATTCCAGGCCCTTTCATCCTTCAAGACTGACTTGAAGAATTTAAAATGTTGATGGACATTAAAAGAGCTTGGGGAAAATCCTGCCTATAAAGTCTTAAGTCTAAAGAGAGCTCTCTGCCCCACCTCCCTCTCTAACACCCACCACCTTATGTATGGAGTCACTTCCATCTGTTTTATGCTACTCTGTCCTCTGTCCTATAGTGTGTCTGTTTTCATTTTTTTTTTTTCCTTTCTTTTTCTTTCTTTTTTTTTTTTTTTTTTTTTTTTTGAGACAGAGTCTCACTGTGTTGCCCAGGCTAGAGTGAGTGCCGCGGTGTCAGCCTAGCTCACAGCAACCTCAAACTCCTGGCCAGTATCTCTGCCTCGCTTCCTGAGTAGCTGGGACTACAGGCGTGGGCCACCGTGCCCATAGTGTGTCTGTTTTCAATCAGCTTCACATGAGCTACTGCTCAGCCACATGGAGCATGGAGTCTTTCACTCCCATAACCCTCCCATGTGATCACCAGCTATTATATTGACCCTTTTCTTCACTTCTTTCTCTACTCAATCTAATACATGTTAATCATCTCAATCATGTTCACTATTGTTCTCCATTTATTTTAAACTTCTTCATACCTACTCTTCAAATTTTAAATACTGGTGCAGCAAAGCTAACTGATTTCTCCCCAAGGCCTACACTGCTAAGCAGTGCTAGAGAAAATTCTCAATTCTTCTGAGGTCAATATGAAGTCATGGTCTCCAACAACACCTGAAGCATTTAGTATTCCTTTTAGATTTCTTCTGGTAATTTCTCCACTCCTTTTCATAGGTCTTCACATTTTAATGGCTCTTTTCATACCCTACTTCACACACCAACTCATTGATTCTAGGCAGCTAACATGTTCTTCTAGCTTAGAGACAGGATCAATGCCTTCAGATAACTCCCTGCCCCAAAGCTACAAACCTCTACAGATCTGTACATAGTATTTCCTCCTCCATTCTGATCTTATTAAAATAGATATCCTTTCTTCTCCCTAATAATAATAATAATAGTACTTCTTTTTTTTTTTTTGAGACAGAGTCTCACTCTGTTGCCTAGGCTAGAGTGCCATGGAGTCAGCCTAGCTCACAGCAACCTCAAACTCCTGGGCTCAAGCAATCCTTCTGCCTCAGCCTCCTGAGTAGCCGGGACTACAGGCGTGCGCCACCATGCCCGGCTAATTTTTTCTCTATATTTTTAGTTGACCAATTAATTTCTTTCTATTTTTAATAGAGACAGGGTCTCGCTCTTGCTCAGGCTGGTCTTGAACTCCTGACGTTGAGTGATCTGCCCACCTCGGCCTCCCAGAGTGCTAGGATTACAGGCTTTGCATTGCATTGATTCAACAGGTTATTTTGTTCAGCAAGTGATTTAAGAAATTATGTACCAAGAACAGTGGAGAATGTGCAAGACAAACAGGGCCTCTGTTCTTGACCCTCACAGAGCTTACATTGAAAGGAGGGAAAATAAATTTTTTTTTGAAAAAGCAAAACTAAAACAATAGCAAACTTTATAAGTGCAAAGAACTAAACAAAGGCCGAGAGAGTTTTACTGAAAGTTCAATACTTGTCCCCATTGCTGAACGAAGAATGAGAACAAGCAGTTTGAAGAAAAGGAAAGAGAAGTTTATTAATATGCCGGTGAATGAGGAGGGTGGCAGACTCTTGTCTTTAAGTGCCATTATCCTCCCCTTAAACAGAAATACAGATCTTTTTAAGGGGAGTTTTAGGCCCTGGGCTATCGCTGTTTAACTATGGCAACTGTGCTGAAGACAGTCTCGTGACCTCTGCCCAGACAATTCCATCGAGCCATTTCCTGTGGCACAAAGAACAAAGGACACAGTCCCCTCTCCCTCTGATTCCTGGCCTCAGGAAGGAGTATAGGTTTTAATTCCAAAAAAGGGCAGAGGGTGGTTAAAGAGACAACTTGTAATATGTTTTGCCCTTTCTCAGGCCCTTATTTCTGTTACATATTTCCCTCTGTCAAGTTTGCCCTTCCGTATCTATTGGAGGAGTGGTGACATAGTCATCAAGCTACTTCCTGCTGAATTAGGGTGATGCTTCAGATCAAACCTTGTACTTAGTTATGCTATTCAAAAGCTTTGGCAGTAGATTTACAAAAATAAAGAATGCAACAGATTACCAGGTAAAAAAGGACATAAGCAACAACTACAACCATGCGGATTGACAAGGTGAAATGAAGTAGGATACCTGATAAGAGAGATTTTTACCCCGCTTGCTATCTAAGACACCAGTAGGACTGAGGGTCCCTACTGTCACCTTACACATAATGTCTGATACAGAGCTGGGCAAGAAAGAAACATGGGACCTCTGAGCACAGAGCTAATAGTTGCTCCTTGTAGGTGATCTGAGAGACCGGCCTCTGCAAATTCAGAAATTATATACAGGAATACTTGCACTGAATGAGGTTTAGGATGACAAACCCAGCAATGAGACAGATCAGCACAAGGCGCCCTCAGAAAATCCTCACTAAGGAGCTGTCTCTCCATCCAGAGACAGAACAAATAACCAAAGAAAGGCTAGTGAAAATATCAACATTTTCATTTTTCCTTCTTGTTAAGTAGATTCTTTAGATTGCTGGCCCATCCACTGGGAGTTTGGTTCTCTTCTTCCATGAGACAACTCTTTACTCTGGTATGATGGACCTGAAGTTTCACTCCTGGCAATTTCAGCGAGGCGTGCATTGTTAAAGGCATGTCATAGGCTCCCTTCCACTTCTCCACCATTTGTTGTTCATGTCACCTGCCTTCTTATTTAATGCGGTGGAGGGGTGCCTCCAACTGGGGCAAGGACCTAAAAGAGGCAAACTCATGCATAGTGGTTAGTATGTGACCCACTCGTTCAACATATTGCTTTACTCTGCTTTCTTTACTCATATTATCATGCTTACCTTGGAGTGATAGCAGGGTGTCTCATAAACTATTCCATAGGGGCTTAACTTAAGCCTGCTTTTCTAGAGGCTACCCTTATCTGGAGCAGGGCAAGCAGCAACACCTTATGTCACTTTAGATGGGGCTTCTTGCTTCAATTTTGCTACAGCTTCCTTTGAAGTATGATTTATTTTCTCCATTTTTTCCATACATTGAGGTCTCTAGGATGGGTGCAATTTCCATTCTAGATGTAGGGCTTTGCTTACTTGCTAAGTTACTTCTGATATAAAGGAGGGTCCTTTATTACTCTGTATGGAGGAAGGAAGCCCATATCTCAGAATGTGTTCCTTCAGAAGGATTCTGGTAACTTCAGACACTCTCTCCATTGGGGTAGGATAAGCCTCTACCCAGCCTGAAAAGGTATGTACTAACATAAGTTTAGACATCTCAGTGAAATCAATTTCCCAATTGTTGAAAGGATGGGTCTCCACATGTTGGGTTCCCTGTGCAGCAGGTTGCTTTTCTGTCTTGGCATTGTTTTGAGAACATAGAAAGTAGCTCTGTGTTATTTTCTGGACAGTTTGTTGCAAATGGGATCCTCTTAAATGAGGTCCAACAAAATCCATTAAGGCATCATGCCCATAACGTGTACATTCATTTAGGTGCCTCATAAGAGGCCAAATCAAGGCTTCAAGTAGGAGAATGAGTCCATGAGGATTTTGTCTCTACTGGCTGTGCCATACCTAATATTAGAGCCCCAGTGTTTAGTTTTATAGGGGGTTTATTTTGATCTAAATCTAGCTAGGATATCAAGGCCCTGAGGAACAGATCACCTTTAGCAGCCTCCTTAGCAGCTTTGCCAGTGGCCTGTCTTGGTCCAACTTCAGGTTCCATAGGTCCTTTGAAAACCCTGAGGCAACATAGTCCAGCAGTGCTGTGAGGTCATTCTAGTCTCAGGATCCTGCCATTGAATGCCACTGAGTACCATTCATAGTCACTTGTACAATATCATTAATGGCATGTAGGTCCTGCATGAATCTATACTCACTGGTATGGGGAATTTAAATTCTTTCTGTACGTCCTGAGGGCCTGTCAGCCTATACTGCCTTGCTCACTTTTTGGTAGCTTCTTCTTGCAAATGCTAAAATGATAAGCAAATGTACTGAGGCCCAAACTTCTAAATGGACTGCTCTGCAGTGACAGCCTCCTGTATGCTTCACCGGGCTGTGGTATTCAAAGGTGTCCATCAGGAGCTTGGCAATACTTTCAGAGGTGAGCTCCTGCTACGTCTGGAACAGCTCCTGGTGCTCCCGCTGCTCAACCAGGTCCAGTGTGGCCACCAAAAATGTCAGAGTCACTGGAGTTGGTGGCAACAGGAGCAGCGCTAGCTCTGGCAGCAGCTCCCTGGAACCTGCCTCCTGGGTCCATGGTGATGAATATGGCTACTGCCCTGCCGCCTGGCCTCTGCTCCTGGCCTGGCTCATGGAGCGCCATGCACGGCTGGTGCTGGGGGGCCAGGGCAGTGGCCAAGGGGGTGGGGCTGGACCCCTTAGGGCACTTCTGCCCATGTGGCTTGGTGGTGGTGGCACGCCTGTGTCAATAAAAATGTCCATTAATTGAGTCCCCACTGACAGTCATACCTGGGACTCATGTGGGGATATATGGACTAGAGCCACTAGTGAGGCATGGGGCCCTGGCCTCTTTCATCATCTGAGTCCTAAACTCAAAAAACCATTTGCTGTCCTAGGAGTTTCTTGTTACCTGAAGCCCTTTGCAATTTTGGGCAGTGTTCTTTCCAATGCCATTCCTCTTTACAATGAGCATATCGATTGTACCTCATTCTGAGGTGATTGTTTCTGCCCTTTCCTTTTGACTGCCTCAAAGGACACTTGGTTGGCGCAGCTAACAGAACATGCATAGGTTTCAGTTTGTGTTCTTCCCTAGCTTAATATACTCTAAAGGCAATATCAACAAGCTATGAGAGATTCTTGCCAATTGCCCCTTTCACACCCTACGACTTTCTCCTTATATCTGAAGCACCTTTGTCCTATAGAAGTCATATTAACTATGCACACATTGTCTGGGGCCTCTGGATCCACATCTGTATATTTCCTATATGGTTGACAGATGCGTTCCAAAAATTCAGAGAAATCTTCAGTAGCTTTTTGTTGTAATTCTTGGACCTTGTTTAAACTCTTCTGTCTAAGAACTCCCCACTGGAGCCCTGCCAGAATGCACTTTCAGTAATGATTTATCCTCACACCATCTGTGCTTGCATTAGGATCCCAATTTGTGTAAGTCCAATAATACCCTGCCAGCTGTCCTTGTGCATTCAAGCCCCCTATCTGATGTTTCCATAATGGAAATTGCCCTGCCCCTGCTACGGGTGCCCTCTGGCCAAATTGAGTTCTCCATCAGGTCTTAGAAGAATAGACCATTCCCACTCCCAAGTCATAACCCAGTGGGTGTAGGACTGAAGAATCAGTTCCAGTTACTCCCTCCATGGCCCCTCTCATGGCCCCAAGATGGTGGCAGTGGTAGCGGCAGCAGGTTCCCACAGTTGCCCCAGGCCTGGCTCCATGCAGGGCTGCAACCTAGGCTGGCTAGGTTGCTCCAGTTGCTGGAAAGCTGCTCCTGGTAGTGTACTCCTGTCTCGGCCAACGGGACTTTTTGTTACTCGTGGGGTCAAGGGGGACCGTGCCTGAAAGAGATGGGCGAGAGAAAGGAACGAGACCAAGAAAAGGGTTGTCAAGGTCTACTTTACTTGGATTCTTAGTAGGTTTCATAAGCATACAGAAACAAGGAAGTAGAAACAGAAAAATAGAGTGGGGTGACGATGAGGCTTGGGTCTGGGTTAATCAGCCCCAATCAGCGTCTTATCGGTATCCTGTTTGTGACTGATTACTCAACCCCAACCTGGCAGGTGGTCGGGAACAATTGCAGTCAGCACTCTCTGGAGCATTCTGTGGTCAGCACGTCATGGAATGCATTCTTCTCGGAGCTATAGCTGGAATTTTCCAGGGCAAAGCCTGTGCGTAGGACGAGTCATAGGGGAGTTGAGGGTCTTTGAGGGTCCTTGCCTCTAACATCTCCCCCTCTCTTTATTAATATGAGGGAGATTTATATAGGTGGGTGGAGAGCCTGTTTTAGGCTACGCGATGGGCTTTTGCGACTAGCACCCCAAATATAAGATTGGGCGATTAACGTGAAGGTGAGGCCTTTGTCTTAGGCTATGTAGGTGGCATTTAGCTCTGGCACTTTTGATTATGAAGTGTGCTTTGGGGCATGGACCTACAATATTCTTGTCATGGAGTTATTTTACCATTGGCAGGGTGTGCTTTTGGTATATGGCATTGTGATAATTTTGTCATGGGCGTCTCTATAGCCTTTGGAACTAACTGTGTTTTATGTCTGAGCAAGGTTTGAGAAATTTAGACCTTCAGTGGGTGTATTGGGAGACTCTTTACGGAGGTCTTTTTTGGAGCCTCTTTGTTCTAGCTGTTGGTAAAACATGGAGACTGATTTTTGTGTGGCTGCGTCTATTTGTGACTTGACAAAATTAGTTAGTTTTTTGAATGCCCAAGGCCCAAAGGTGAGGAGCAACAGAAAACTTACAAGCGGCCCTAAGACACTGGGAAGCAATGTGGATAGCCAGGGGGATGTGGAAAACCAATTTTGATACCATGCTTTACTTTGTTGTTGTTTTTTTTTATTTTCTAGGCTTTGTCTGACCCTTTTGATGCTATCTTTTACCAGACCTGTTTTGTCTGTGTAAAAGCAACATTTTTTTTAAGTGCTGCGCACAAACTTTTTTTTTGGAGGAACACTAAGTCTAGGCCTCTTCTATTTTGTAACACTACCTCAGAAAGTGAAGCGAGGGATTTTTTGAGATATTTTAGGCCCTGCTGTAGCTCTTGGAGATCATTATTGATGGCAGCAGAGAGCTGCAGGTATTGCTGGTTGGAGGTGACTAGAGAGGCTATGCCTGTTTTAGCCCCTGTGGCACCAAGGCCTAGAACAACTGCGAGTGTTATGGCTGTGATGGGCTCTCTCTTTTTGGGGGGCATTGTGGTGCTGCGCTCTTAAAATTTGAGCAATTTGTCAGCAGGGCGTATAGTGAGTCTGGGGAAGAGCATGACTAACACACAATATTTTTTATGCTTAAGAAACGTTGCAGTGACTACATATGGGGTAAGGCCGGAAGAACAAGCAAAATAAGAGGTGTTAGATGCCTGAATAGACTGAAAGGTGGAGTCGACAGTAATTGACTGATTGCATATTTTTTTAAGGGCGTGGGGGGAAGCATTTTTGGGCTAAGAAGGCAAAGGCCTAGGCCTGTGACTTGGCTGAGTGTCAGGCCATTATGGGTCTTTAGGCCCCATCTGAGTTTGCTGGTGTCGTTAGTAAATAATTTTGGAATGGGGGAGACTCTTGTTTTTTGGGGGGAAATATTATAGGTGTCTGATAGAGGAACTGAATTAGTTTATTAGGGGGGTAATGATTATCTATTTTGCTCTGGAAAGACGTACAGTTAACTGCCCAATTATCATCAGTTTGTATTAGCCACCGAACTTGGGAAGCATTGTAAGGGAGTATTATGATATTTGGATTTTTTTTAAAGAGTTTAAGGGAGTTTTTTCGCCCCAAGCGAATAATCTTAGCTACTAAATAAGGGTAGGTGGGAAGGACTTTAGGGGGGGAAGCCGATAGGTGAACCCAAAAAAGGGGCTTGCCCTGCCAGAAGAGTCCCGTGGGCGAAAAGGGGGTAGGGAGGACAATGAAGTACAAGGGGGAGTCGGGGGAGAAGTAGCCAATGGCCTGGGCATTTATGGCCTGCTCGACTAAATTAAGCGCTTGCTGCCCTTTTTTAGTTAGGAAGTGTGGAGAGGTTGGATCGGCATCTCTCTGTAGGATGTCAAACAGGGGTTTTAACTGTCTTGTGGTGAGCCTCAAATATGGGCGAAGCCAATTAATGTCGCCTAGAAGGCGCTGAAAATCATTAAGGCATTGAAGAGAGTCTTTTCTTATTCGTACCTTTTGGGAGAGGACCTTATTGGGGAACAATTTAAAGCCTAGGAACAGGTGAGGGGGGCAGACCTGAATTTTTTTAGGGGACAGGCAGAGGCCTCGAGCTTGTGAGGCCGAGACAACCTGCATGGTAACTTGATGTAAGGCTGCCTCATTGGCCCCAGCAAGAAGAATGTCATCCATATAATGAATTATATATAGCTGAGGATGTGGAATTTTAAAAGAATTAATTGTCTGAGCTACATATTTTTGGCAAAGGGTAGGGCTGTTGGCCATGCTTTGAGGCAATACTCGCCGTTGGAAGCTCGGAGAGGGTCTTATACAGTTTACCACTGGGAGACTGAAAGCAAAGCGCTTACAGTCATCTGGGTGCAAAGGTATGGAGAAAAAGCAATCTTTTAGGTCAATGACTATTTTATAGTAGCCTCTGGGGATAGGTACGGGCGAAGGCAAACCAGGCTGGAGTGCCCCCATGGGAAACATTGGTTAACAGCCCATAAGTCTTGTAGCAGCCACCACTTGCTAGTCTTTTTTTGAATGACGAAAATGGGGGTGTTCTATGGTGAAGTAGAGGGCTCTATGTGTCCGGCAGCTAATTGTTTTTGCACTAACACTGTAGCTGCGGCTAGTTTGTTAGACGGGAGGGGCCACTGATCGATCTAGACAGGGGAGTTACTTTTTTAAGTGATTTTATCTGCCTGAAGTGCAGGGGGATTAATGGCCCTTATGAAAAATGGTCTTTGAACCCTAGTCTTGATCTGTCTGACTTAGGGAGGGTGGTTAAGGGTGCTCTTAGTCCCTGACTCTTTTTGCCTAAACACTGTCTTGGGAGGAATCCCTGTTTAAGCATTTGGCTGGCTATAACTTCATTGGGGCTGCACATAATGACATTCATTTGTGCAAGGATATCACGCCCCCATAATTTAACAGGTAGGCTTGGGACTATAAAGGGTTGAGTGGTGCCTCTGTTTTTCTCAGAGTCTTCCCATGTAAAAATTTTTTTTTTTATTTTATTTTTTTTTTTCATTCTTTTATAAGAACTTAGTATTTTTACCCATGTAAAAATTTTTGAGCTCTGGAGAGTGTCTTTAGACTGTCCTATACCTTGTAAGTGCGTAAGGGAGGGCTGCAGTGGCCATGAATCGGGCCAGGCGACTTGGGCAATAACCGTGGAATCGGTGCCTGAATCAAGAAGGCCTTTAAAAAGTTTACCATCTAATTTTAGCCGCAGGGTGGGTTATTCTTTGGTGATAGCTTGGATCCAATAGAGATCAGAAGAGCCAGGGCAGGAAGCACCTCGGTTAGGGGCAATGGCTGGGAAGGATGTATTAAGGGGCAAGGGTAACGCCTGAGCTAAGCGCTGTCTCTTAGAGACACACACAGGGCCGGTAAGCGCACTGGCTAAGATGTTAATTTTTCTGAGCCCTGCAAGAGTAGAGGAGGCTCGGCCCAGAATAAAAAAGAACATATTAGCCAGGAGGGGGGGGGGTGTCTAAAGGAGCCAGTGGGCAAAATCTGAACACCATCCTCAGGTCTTAATATTGTGTCGGAGGAGGCACACAAGTCCACTCCTGCGCTCCCTGTGGTTGCTCGGAGGAGTCTAAAGTCTGAGGGCTCTCTTGTCGGCTGTTCTCTGAGGCCGACTGAAATTGAATAGGACGGGGGCCCCGGGGCTGGCCCTTCAGGCCGTTTCCCGAAAGGGGGGGCAAGGGGTTTCTAAAGACATCAGTCTTGGAGCGGCATTGACTGGCCCAATGCTTTCCCCTCCTACAGCGAGGACAGAGGGAGGGGGGCTGGGCTGGCCTGCCTGGCGGCTCACTGAGGTTAGGGGTAGCAGAGGAGACGGCTAGGGGGCACTGCCTCGCAAAGTGCCCTGGTTGACCGCATTTAAAGCAGTCCCTCTGTGCTGCGGTCCCTCGGATGGTGGCCCCAACCGCAAGCTGTACGGCCTGCGATACCTTATGGGTGAAGGGGTCAACATCATTACACATTCTAATCATGTCATTAAGGTCTTTATTTTTGAGTTTGCCCCTGAGGATGCCCCTGCAGGTGCTGTTGGCATTTTCATAGGCCAATTGTTTAATAAGCCTATTATTCTCATCTTCGTGTCTGAGGGTTCGTTCAGCAGACTCTAAAAGCCTACCCACAAATTTACTAAAACCCTCTTTAGCTCCCTGGGTGATTTTTGTCAGGGGAGTGAGAACAGATCCCGTAGAGGGAAGTGTTCGCCAGGCGCCGAAGGCGGCTGCGGCGGTCTGAGACAAAAGTCCAATCGGGAGTCTCCTTTGGCGCTGTTCAGTAGCAAATCTCCCGTCTGCTAAGCTTTTTAAGGGTCTAAGATGCAGAATTGGGGTTTTTAAAATTATTAGCAGCCGTGGTCTGACAGCGGTCGAGAAAGTCGGCCTTTTAAGAGAGGAACTTCCCGCGAGAAAAGACCGCCTGAACTAGTTTGACCCATTCTCCGGGGAGCAGGTAGCCGCCCCCTGAGGCTGCCTCTAGGAGGGAGTAGGTAAAGGGTGCATTGGGCCCATACGTCCTAACAGCAGAATTCAGTTCTTTTAAGGTTTTAAACTTTAGTCTGCGAAATTCAGTGGGCTCTGCAGTGGGCCCCGGGACTGTCTATTTTGGGGGGTCATTACTTTTACTTTTCTTTTTTTTCTCTTCTGTATTCTCGTCATCTGAATCTTGGGGCAGGGACTGGCTAGAAGAAGGGGCGGCAAGGTCTCCTTGCCTATTAGATTTGGTAACTACTGGGAATGCTAGGGCTTTATGGGAGGACTTTAAGGTTTTTTTATTTAAGGTGGCGTGTGATTGGGCGGTCTCATGACGTGGGTGGCTAATGAAAACCGAATCTTTAAGCATATCTTGGAGGGAGGACAAGTCTTTGGAAAGCTGGGCAAACTCTTTTTGAAGTTGTAAGACATCTTTTAATTGCATAACCCTTTGACTTAAGTCTTTTTTGGCATGCAAAAGCAAGGGCATTGTAAGGGGAGGCATTAACGAAGGTGCGCAAATTTGGGGTGCGTAAGGAGGCGGCCATTCGGGATTGTGATATTGGGCCGCTTCCTCTCCGAGGGTTGCCTCTTCTGCGGGGTCGAGGGACTCTTGGAGGGGTTGTTTCTTGAATACCGGGTAATTGAATGCATGAGGGGCTGTACCCTCGGGTAAGGGAGGATAGAGGGTTTTGGTGTCTGTGTGAGGGGTCGAGACATTGCATACCTGCAAGGCCCACACCCCCAGTGAAGCCGGAACCAACATCCGGTTTCTGGAAACTGTTGCTTGCTTGCCATGGAAACCGTTGCTTGCTTGCTTGTTTGCGCCAACTTTGCATTGTTTGAACCCCTGTATAGTGGGGCTACCAGCCAACCAATCATGTTAAAGGTCAATGCATGATCCACGTGTGATCAGCCACTGCATAGCGTATGCACCATAGGGATAAAAGGCACGCTGCAACCCCAGTCAGGGTCCTTGCCTGCAAGAGTGGCCACTGCGTTGGTGCTCTAGGGCTTGGACCCTGGCTAGCCAGAAAATAAACCTCCTCTTATGTAATTACATCCTCAATGTCTCTGCTTTTCTGTCTGGTGGGGCTGTGGAAGGTTGGTCCCTAACATCTGGCCTACTAATCGGGGGCTCGTCCCTAGATGTCTGGAGCTCAGCCGAGGGGTCTTGAGGGGGCATATTAATACAAACTGAGGGGCAAGGGGAAGGGCATGTTGGTCTCTCAGGATCATTAGGGGAAGTCGACCCTCTGGTCGCCTCTAAAGACCTTCTTGAAGCGGACCGCAACACGGGTCGGAGGCAGAATTTTGCTACTGAGAGCAGCTGCTTTTTATTGGAGTCTGAATCTGCTCCCTCAACAATATCTCTGATTAGTCCTCAGTACGAGAAAATGGATACAGGGACGGCATCTGGGCACTGATTTAGAAGTAAATTGTTTAGATCTTTGCCTACCTTTTGCCACTTGCGTGGGTGAATCTCAGGTCCACCAACAATGAACCAAGGACAAGCATGATCAATGAACACAAAAAACTTTACTAGGTCCTTTTTCTTAACTCTAATTCCTCTTTCTCTGAGCGAGGCCTTGAGATCTTTGATAAAAACAGCCTCTTTAGACAAAGAATAGCCCATCTCGATGGGATGACAATGTAAAACATCTACTCACCAGACCGTCGATTCTGTGAGTGGCAGAAAGGAGGTCTCTTCAGGGATTCTCCGGAGAACTGTCTGTAAACCGCGTGTCATCCGACAAAAGTCCGTACCTCGGGCCCCACGTTGGGCGCCACTTGTCCCCACCTGCGGGAACTTCTGTTACTCATGGGGTCAAGGGGACCGTGCCTGAAAGAGATGGGCGAGAGAAAGGAACGAGACCAAGAAAAGGGTTGTCAAGGTCTACTTTACTTGGATTCTTAGTAGGTTTCATAAGCATACAGAAACAAGGAAGTAGAAACAGAAAAATAGAGTGGGGTAACAATGAGGCTTGGGTCTGGGTTAATCAGCCCCAATCAGCATCTTATCGGTATCCTGTTTGTGACTGATTACTCAACCCCAACCTGGCAGGTGGTCGGGAACAATTGCAGTCAGCACTCCCTGGAGCATCCCGTGGTCAGCACGTCATGGAATGCATTCTTCTCGGAACTATAGCTGGAATTTTCCAGGGCGAAGCCCGTGCGTAGGACGTGTCATAGGGGAGTTGAGGGTCTTTGAGGGTCCTTGCCTCTAACATACTCCATGACCACCGCACTGGGGGCCCCAGCAGCACAAGCTCAAGTGTGGCTGAGCTCCAGCGCCTTCCCCAGTGGGTGGGGAGCTGGCAGCAAGGAAGTGGGCTCATGAGATCCAACCTGGTTAATGCCTCTTCAATTTTGTCACACAGCCTTTTGGCCTCTTTATTGTGCAATTGCATGAAAGATTGTACATATGGGATCTCATCCCATTTACCTTTGACAAAATAATCCAAGTTGTAAAATAGTATAATAATTTAAGATTCCATTCAATGGCCACTTCTCCTCCCACTCCAGCACATACATTGGCCACACACTATTATAACAACACCATTCTCTTTTAGACATAGACTTGTATTAATAGCTATAAGTTGGCCATTCAACCAAGATTCTCCCCCAGGGGCCTTCAGGTGGAATAGAAACAGAGCTTCCCATGTTGACAAACAACAACAACTAACGACATGACAAGCAGACAATACAGGGAATTCCCAATGCAAATCTTCTTAATGCTAAGGCCTTACCAAGTGAATGGAAACTACACAAACAAGAACCAAATTCTCAAACGAAAACTGCCTCCTAATTCAAAAGGGAAGGAATTCCCCAAGTTCCCTAGTTCTGCTCAATTGTGACTTCCAACTCCAAATGGTGCCTACAAACAAAAGCCCTGCCACAGGGCTGGAAGGTTCAAAATCCTTCCCCAGTGGATGGGATTAAAGGTCTCAGTGTGCACGCCGGGAACTTACCGAAATGGCGAAGGCATTGCCACACGTCCCAAATCTGTTTTTCCTCAACAAGGTTCAGGTTGTGTGGATCTGCATCTAATGCCCAGAGGGAGAGACAGGAGTTTCCCAGAGCTAATCAGGCTCTAGCAGCTGCTGGTGTGGTCCCCTACACTCTCACCCCCAAAAGACGGTGCTTCTACCAGTGAAGACCCATTGCTTGACCCAGGGCTGCTTCCCATCTCTTCCAGACATGGCAGTAGTTGCTGGGTGCTGTTCCACCAAGGATGCTAAATTTCCTTATTGAAAGTTTGGTACCTGTCCCAAGGCTGAACAAAGAATAGGGACAAGCAGTTTGAGGAAAAAGAAAGAGTTCATTGATTTGCTGGCAAATGAGAAGGATGGAAGACTCTCATCTTAAAGTATCATAATCTTCCCTTTAAGCAGAAAATTAGAGCTTTAAAAGGGAGGCTTCAGCTTCAGGCTACTGCTGTTTATAACATTACTGGTGAAGACTATCTCGTGACCTCCACCGGGATAATTCTATGAGCCATCTGCTGAAGTACAAAGAGCAAAGAATCCTCCCCTGCCTGTTTGATTACTAGCCTCGGGCAGGAATGTACTTTTTAATTCCAAAGAAGAGTGGGGGGTGGTTAAAGAGACAACTGGTAATACATTTTTCCTTTTTCAGGCCCTTATTTCTGTTACAAGAGGGAATAGCAGTTAAAGAGGGAGTGTAGAACACTTGGGAAAGGTAGAGTGAGGGAAAACATTTTCAAAGGTGAGCAAAAGTTTGGTGCATTTGAAAAATTAAAAAAAGACTAGAGGCCAGGTGCGGTGGCTCATGCCTGTAATCCTAGCACTCTGGGGGGTCGAGGTGGGAGGATCCCTTGAGGTAAGGAGTTTGATACCAGTCTGAGCAAGAGTGAGACTCTGTCTCTACTAAAAATAGAAAGAAATCGTCTGACAACTAAAAATATATAGAAAAAATTAGCTGGGCATGGTGGCGCATGCCTGTAGTCCCAGCTACTTAGGAGGCTGAGTTAGAAGGATTGCTTGAACCCAGGAATTTGAGGTTGCTGTCAGCTAGGCTGACACCATGGCACTCTACTCCGGGCAACAGAGCAAGACTCTGTCTCAACAAAACCAAAACAAACAAACAAAAAAACCAGAAGCTTGGGCCAAAGGCTTGGAATGTTTTAACTTAAGATAAGGATGTCTGTTATTTTAAACTTTTATTTATTTATTTATTGAGACAGAGTCTCACTTTGTTGCCCAGGCTAGAGTGAGTGCCATGGTGTCAGCCTAGCTCACAGCAACCTCAAACTCCTGGGCTCAAGTGATCCTCCTGCCTCAGCCTCCCGAGTAGCTGGGACTACAGGCATGTGCCACCATGCCCGGCTAATTTTTGTATATATATTTTTAGTTGGTTGATTAATTTCTTTCTATTTTTAGTAGAGATGGGGTCTCGCTCAGGCTGGTTTCGAACTCCTGACCTAGAGCGATCTTCCCGCCTTGGCCTCCCAGAGTGCTAGGATTACAGGCATGAGCCAACATGCCCAGCCTATTTTTTATTTTTTTGAGACAGAGTCTCACTCTGTTGCCCAGGCTAAAGTGCCATGGCATCAGCCTAGTTCACAGCAACCTCAAACTCCTGGGTTCAAGTGATCCTACTGCCTCAGCCTCCCGAGTAGCTGGGACTACATGCATGTGTCACCATGCCTGGCTAATTTTTACTATATATATTAGTTGGTCAATTAATTTCTTTCTATTTATAGTAGAGACAGGGTCTTGCTCTTGCTCAGGCTGGTTTCAAATTCCTGACCTCGAGCAATCCGCCCGCCTGGGCCTCCCAGAGTGCTAGGATTACAGGCGTGAGCCACCACGCCTGACCATCAAGACAATAATTTGTAAAAGTGGGGAAAGGGCATTTGATGGCATAATGCGTATGAAGTTAATCCAAGACAAGGCCCACTGAACTAAACAGCAAGCAAAGCTCAGATGTGCCAATGAAATAAGTCAAAGTTTTCTTTGAAATTGAATGAGTTAAACTTCAATTTGTGAAAAAGAAATGCTACAATGGACCTTTAAAATGCGTAATGTTTTTAAGATAATCCACTGGAGGCAGCATAGAGACTGTTAGATATGCCTCTCTGAGACTCTGGGGTCTGGACAGGAGGATATAAATTCATAGAGTTAAATATGTATTTTTATATACAGGCATAAATGAGATCATCTCTCCCCATCTTCACTCTTCCTTTTATCTCTCTTGCTCCTTCTTTAATTGTTCATTTTCTACTAGCTTCTTCCCTAGTATACAGCATACAGTAGTTTAGTACGAGTTGTATGCTGTAAAAGGGAGGGCAGAACACAAAGTGGAAGAGTCAAGCCGTGCACTAAGCAATTTGGATGCTGAACTTGAAGACAATGAGAAGCTACTTAATGTTTTATTAACAGGTGAGTTTCACAGTGTGGTGAATGAATGTTTTAGCAATATGCCCTGATGGAAGTTTGAGGTCTTAGCTGAAGTGTGGAGAAGACAGGTCTTAATTCTAGCTCAGAGCATATTGTGAAAATCCTAAATGTTAAAATGATGAGAGCAGGAAAAGGAACATTCTCCAGGTGGTGGTGACATGGCAGTCATTATTTCTTTATTTCAATAGAAAATTCTAAGCTGTGCTCAAATTGAAAAAATAAGTAACAGTGGTTAGGAAATGTTATTTTTACACGATTGTTCTCTAGGTCTGTCCTCTAATTTTAAGCAGTGGAGATTCACTGACCCCTCTTTGTCAACACAAGTGACACAGACAGGCACAAGCTCCCTGCAGCCTGGCAGTGCAGCGCCACTTTGCCTCCTCTGCAGCTTCCTCTGAGTTTCCTGAGGTGACTGCACTGGACAGAAACCACATTCTCTGTCATGTTTTACTTGCCCGAACTGAAGCTCCTGGAAACAATTAGGGCTCTGTCTAGCGTTATGTCAGTATTTGGAGGAAAGTGTCAATATCTACACAGCAGGAGGAAATGACCTGGGTAGCACAAAGCTCCTAATCTGAGTGGGAGACCTGAAAGATGGACATATATTAAATTACACAAGGACAATGCAACTCTCCTTTCGCAAGGAAGGGGGGTATGACAGAATATTCATTGGGCTGTGATGACGAGTTCTGTCTGTGGCTTGGAGACAAGTAGCACAGTACAGGGTGCTTTGCAATGTAACAGGCTCCATGAACAAATTTCAACGGCCCCTGTCTGGTTTTTTTGTACTCTCCTCTCTTAACTAACTACTTAAACTTTTTGAGTTCTTTCCCAGAAATGGTGGAATTTTTACAAGACATAGGAGCTGAGATTCCCAAGATCCCTGTGCAGCAATTCTAATGCCAAGAAACATCATCCCCCGTGGCCTGCCCCAAGGCACGCACGTGGCCTCTCCTTAAAAAGCCCATGATCTCTGTTGATCAGGGAGATGCATTTGAGACTATTTCTGCTATTCTCCCGACAGACATCTTTCGCATTAAAATTCCTTTCTTCCTTGGCAATCCTTGTTGTCTCAATAACTGGATCTTTGTGTGGTGAGCAACTGGATCTAGGCAGAAAGCCCCCTGTGGCTTGGATGACAGCGGTGGCCTGCTTTCAGTCCAGGTCTAGGTCAGGAACTGCAGCATAAACTCTTACCGAGTTGGCCTTGTAGGTATGGCTCTAAAAGATCCTCATTAAAAGATCTAATTAGTTAATATGTTAAGAGGTTACTTGCATATGAAGATATGGAAATAAAGGGAAAAAAAGAATTATTTAACAAATTTAAGTGTCAGGAAATTAAAATGGCAACATCTGGGGATAGCTAGTTTTGGGTCTTTTTAATTGGGTAAAAAATGCTTGGCCAGAAGGTAACCAAGAGACCAGTATTGGGAGCCTGCCTTTGAGCAATCGGACTGAGAAAGCAATTTCAGTGATTTACGGATTATCCAAAACACATGGAGAGTTCACCTGTGGAAAATATTTGACATGCTGTCTCTGAGTAATGTTGGCCAGTATCCTTCTATTGGCATCTGCAGCCCAGTTAACCCAGAATTGCACTATTTCCCAGAATCTCACAACTTTAAGGATCTGCAAAGGGTACCATGAAAATAATAGTGTTTGAGTTGAAATCCAAAGGATGATAGAACTTCAAACTTCAAATAAACAGTATAAGGGCATTTTCTGTTTAAGAGCAAAGATAAAAAAAAAAATGAGAATATGAATCATGGAGAATGGTAAAAATTCTAAGAGTGATATGATAGGAATGAATCTGGGAAGACAGGTTGGCATCTTTTTATGGAAGGCATTAAATGTTAGCATAAGCAGTTTGGACTTTATCCCACATTTGTTGAAAGCCATTGTAAGTTTCTGAGGTGGAAAAAAGGATAATGTACCTTTTAAGATCCTGTGGGGTAACTGAAGTTCCTGGCACCAATCCAGCTCAAGGAGGCCCAAAGAGTTTAAAAAAAAAAAAAAAAAAAAAGAAAGCTAAAACAAAGAAATCCACAGGGCACTGCCCCCGCCCCTTCCCCTGGTGCAAGACTTAGACCGTGCTGACCTTTATGGAGGACGGCCCCACCATACCTGGTGATGCACACCCCATCCCCCAAGTTGATGTCTCTTTGCCTATATAACCACTGGCTGTCTCTGGGTGCAGCACAGAGAACTGCCCAGCCTGCTGCCACCAGTGCCCTGGCATGTGCGTTCTCTGAATAAACTCACATCTCTTTTCTCTGGTCCTCCAGTTTTGGTTCTTTGGATTGGTTCGCATTATGCCCAGGCTTTAAAAGCCCTTAATTTGCAGAACAGATGCTTTTGTTGTCAGTAGAAGATGAATAAGAGAAGTAAAATACAGAAGACAGGGTGACCATTATGGCTATTGAACCACCCCCCAAGGCAAAACCTCTTTAATTTCTATGATAAAAGCCTACCGACAAAATTATGAAATGAGGCAGACTTTCCTCTCTTCTCTATTTGTAGGATGCCCAGTATTCAGCCTTCAATTGTTCATGGCGCCCTTTGGTTCTCGCTGTTTCTGTTGGATACATGACGTTAGAGCTACAAGTATCTAAACTTTTCTTGAGTTCCAGTTTGTGCATCAAACACCCCCACATAGGATCTCTTTTAGACCTCTCTCTTGCGTGACACTAGGGCCTGCTCTCTCCTACAATAGTAATACTAATTCTTGTGTTAGGTCCAGTGTCGTCAAGAGGGAGACATATCAAGTCTCAGGTGTAGCAAAATGTTGTTTATTTTGAATATCTGGGTGTAGATGGGTGGAGGCCAAAAGAGTGTCTACTACGAGGGAGGGGAAAGCCTTGGGTTTAATAGAGGGTTTTGCAGGAGAAGTGAGCAACACCTGCAGAGATAGAGGAGGGAGGTAGTAACTTCCTCCTTATTAGCAGAAATAGGAATGCTGTCGTAGCTGTCTGTTAGATTTATAACTTCCGGACTCTCCAGACTCCTGCAGCTTTTGTTTCACAGGCTTTATGATCACTATCTAAGTATTACGTCCTATACATATTTTTGGGGTTCCCACTCTAAGTAAACCTAACAATTATAAGTGGTAAAGTTGAGTCCTATCCTCTCCCTCTCCTAAAGAGTTGTAAATTCAAACTCAGTACATACCAAAGTTGCTAAATGGAAATCCAATTTAATGGGGACAAAAATTCAGCAAGAGTCAAGTAACAGGTTAGTAATCACAACCATGAGAATGCCCACTGTGCACTTAGCACATTACCCACTTAATTTACCAAAATATGTTCTCTTTCTTTTTTGGTGTTGGAGGCTAAGTTGTATGGAAGTAATGGAATGTGCAGAGACCTGAATTACAGCCTGTTTTATACTCAACTTTCTCAGACTTCAAACACCAAATGGAAAAAGTTTTTGCTCTTACTTCTTATATAGTTTTTACTTTTAAATCAAATCTATCTATCCATATAGATTAAAAAGTCAAATAGCTCCACAAGTATCAGGAAGAAAACTAGCACCTTCGCACCACACACACATTTTCTACACTCTGCTTTTTAGCTGACATTTTTAAACCTACATTTCTCCAAATAGCATGCATATGTTGCTATTCTTGATTTTTATTTTCAGTTTGGAACATTATCTATTGACTTGCTATTATAGAAGATGAATATGAGGCTCTTTTTTTACCACCACCATCTCTACCTCTGCTACCATCACACATCTGAATATTTCTCATGCCCACCCATCTTCCACATACGATTATATAATAATTTTGATTAGGTCACTATAATGAGAAGTGAAAAAGAGAGCATTAATTAATGGTTAAGAGCCTGAAACTATAATCTGCTAGATGAAAGAATTTCAATGACTTATAAATGTATTTTTATAATCCTCTTCCTTAACTAAGTATTTGACTTTTTGAGTTTTTTCCCAGAAATGGTGGATTTTCCACCAGACAAAGGAGGTGAGATTCTGAAGGCCCCAAGGGCAGAGTTCCTGATGCCAAGATTCACCATCCTCACAACCTGCTCTCAATGCCTGCAGCCTCCAGTCAGTTACACCATGACCTGCCCCAAGGCAGGGGCCCCTCCTTTAAAACCCTTGGTGACCTTTAGCTGGGGAGACATCTGAGGCAGCTCCACCATATTAAAAATTCCTTTCTTCTTTGGCAATCCTCGTTGTCTCAATAACTGGATCTTTGTGTGACAAGCAACTGGACCTAGGTGGAAACCTCCTTGCAGTTTTGACAACCAAACCAGGCTTTAGGGATTAAGATTCTGGCTTTGCCTCTTAATCTCTGTCCAATCTTGGTGTAGTCACTTAATCATTCCATGCTTCATTTATCCATCTGTAAAATTATAATAAAATTAAGTATTACATTATTATATAAGGACTAGGGGAGTTTACATACAGGTATTCACATATTAATAAAGTATGTATATTAATCAATAGTAATTGCTTTTGTTATCTTGTAAATCACCTTCATCTTGCTCTTATGATAAAACCTGTTTCCTTTATCCCGTGTCTTTTCCTTTTATTTTATTATTATTATTTTTAAATTTTTTGGCAAAGACTAGATAACCACCATGTCTTTTCCTTTCTTGATTTATATCCTCATTTTGGGGGTGCTTCCTGAAAATAGGTACATGAGAAGTACATTTTTGGAGAACTTTTATGTCTAAGAATGTCTTGAGCTCCCCTTCCCCTTAAACAATAGTTGAGCTTGGTGTAAAATTCTAGGAAGAAAATAATTTCCCTTAGAGTTGTCATGGTATAGCTCTTTAAATAAAGTCTGACCAAATTCCCTTATTGTGTGAGACTCTTAGTATTTGATTGCTGGACATCTAATTTACATTCCCTTCCCCCTTCTTCTATCTCTGTCCTCTTGCTTTACTTTCTAGGAAATTTCCTCAACTTTCTTCTAATATATTCACTGAATTTTTTTCCTTCTCATAGTTTTAATTTTTAACTTTTTTGGTCTGAATGTTCTTTGATTGCAGCTGTTTTTATTTCCTGGAAGCAATCTTCTTTACTCTTGTTTTACTGAGGATATTAACAATATAATTTTTTGATGTCTTTATCTTTCTGAGTAGTCTTTTATATTTTCTCCAACTTGTTTTTCATTGATTGTTTCATATTAGATCTTTTCTTCAAATCCCTGGTGATCCTTGACTTCTTTCTGTCTGTTCATATTAAAAAATGAGATGCTAAAAAAGCTCATTTGAAATTCTACACACATAAGCCGGGCATGGTGGCTAACCCCTGTAATCCTAGCACTCTGGGAGGCCGAGGCAGGTGGATTGTTTGAGCTCAGGAGTTTGAGACCAGCCTGAGCAAGAGCAAGACCCCAGCTCTACCAAAAATAGAAAAAATTAGCTGAGAATGGTGGCTCATGCCTGTAGTCCCAGCTACTGGGGAGGCTGCAGCAGAAGGATCCCTTGAGCCCAGGAGTTTGAGGTTGCTGTGAACTAGGCTGACATTACAACTCTAGCCCTGGCAACAGAGTGAGACTTTGTCTCAAAAAAAAAAAAAAAAAAAAAAAAAGGAGGGATCTCACACATGGAAAAACCTTGTTAACTGAGGTCTTCTGCTGGGCAGGCTGTTGTTGGCTGGTGTAGTTCTGAAAACAGCCTAGGAGAGAAGAAGGTTGGGAATGCAAAATCTCACTTAACCATCTTGGCTTCAGTATGCCATCTAACAGCCCTTGTCCCTTAGCTTTTCTAGTCCATGGACTCTGTTTAGCCTGCACAAATAATAAATCTCCGGTCTATACAGGGATGGGAGAGACAATTGCATGGCTCTTTGGGCTAGGGAGTAACCTGGCTATGGAAGTGCCCTGAGCCTTTCTAAATTCCTTAATCAGTAATAGGCCACTTTAGACTCTCCCTACTGCCAGATTTAGATTCCATTTCTTAAATCTACTCTATCAGTTACTTAGCATTTATCAGTCTTCTTTTTAGATTTCACAATTGATTTCTGTTTTCTCTTCTTTAATTTTGTGAGTTTTTTACATTTTTTTTTCTTTTCCAGTCTATCTCTTTTTCCTAGGGACTGCCATAACAAAGTAGCATGAACTGGATGGTTCAAACAACAGAAACTTATTGTCTCACTGTTCTGAAGGCTGAAAGTCTGAAATCGAATGTCAGCAGAATTAGGTCCTTCTGAGGGAGGATCTGTTTCGTGCCTCCTCCAAGCTTCTGGCAGCCTGAGTGTTCTTTGGCTTGTGGATGACATTTTTTCTATGTCTTCACCACCTCTTTCCTTTATCCATGTCTGTCTCTGTCTAAATTTCTCCCTTCTATGAGAACACCTGTCATATTGGATTAATATCCACTCTACTGAGTCTTATTTTTATCATCTGCAATGACCCTGGCTTCCCCAAAAAATGACACATTCACTGGTACTGAAAGTTAAGACATTAACATCTTTGGGGATGCTAATTCAACACAGTTATTAGTGGAGTTTCAGGAGTCAGCAAAGCTAAATAAAATATATCTTTCCTTCTACTGTCTTGAATCAGAAGTCTATCCTTCACTCCTTTGATAATGCCACACTGCAAAATTTGAGTCTTTTTATTCTTTTTAGACAGACATCACTTTGTCATCCTGGTTAGATGAGGTGGCATCACTGTAGCTCACAGCAACCTCAAACTCCTGGGCTGAAGCGATGCTACTTCCTCGGCCTCCCGAGTAGCTGGTCTACAGGTGCTCGCCACAGCACCAGGGTAGTTTTTCCATTTTTAGTAGAGATGGGGTCTCACTCTTGCTCAGGCTGGTCTCGAACTCCTGACCTCAACAATCTTCCCACTTCAACCTCCTAGAGTGCTAGATTATAGGTGTGAGCCACTGCGCCTGGCCCGAATTTGAGTCTTTATGTTATGGGCTATCCGAGGCACTGTGCATATAAAAACATATAATATATTGTTTTGTATCCTTTTATGAAATGGTCAGTTAGTTGAGGCATCCTCTTGGCTGGGCCCTTGCCATCTCTAAGAATTGGCTAGCCCAAGAAAGGACAGTCCCTTCGCAGCCAGAAATGTTTTTTAAAATATCAAAAGTAATATACAGAAAATAAGTGTCTCTCTCTCTCCCTCTGCACACACAAACACACAAACACGCACACACACATTATACATGCCATCAAATAGTATAGTTTATTGGGAGAGACCATATATATCCCCCCCAAGAAAACAATGAGATATACATAGACATCATATTATCTAATGAACAAAAATACATCATTATTAAGGACCTAGTGCCTTCAATGCTATTTCTCTCTCTCTCTCTCTCTCTCTCTCTCTCTCTCTCATATATATATATATATATATTGCCTCTTTGAGTGTCACTTTCTTCATCTCCCCTATTTGGTGACTGCATGAGACTAAAACAATAGCCACTGTAAGCCTCACATTCTCTGCTACGGTTTGAATGTTTTTATTTCCCCCAAATTCATATGTTCAAATCCTAACCCCCAAGGTGGTGGAATTAAGAGGTAGGGCCTTTGGGAAGTGATTTAATCATGAGCACAGAGCTTTCAGAAATGGATTAGTACCTTTACAAAAGAGGTTTGAGAGAGACCTTCTTTCTTTACTTCTGCCACGTGAGGTTAGAGTGAGAAGGCAGCTGTCTGTGAGGAAACGAGCCCTCACTAGATGCTGAATCTGCTGGTGCCTTGATCTTGGGCTTCACAGTATTCAAAACTGTGAGAAACAAATCTCTGTTGTTTATAAGCTACCCAATCTATGGTATTTTGTTATAGCAGCTGGAATGGACTAAGACATCATCCAAACTTCATCACCAAAGAAGAAGAGTCTTACTTCCTTTAGTTCATATGTAAGAAATTCTAAGGAAAAATTCTGACTAGTCTTGCATAAGCCATCTGGCCTTCCAAATGGTCAAGGCGGTCAGGCTCTATGATTGCTGGGTTCCACTAGAAGAACCATGCGGTGTCAGTGTGGGAAGAGTAGTTTCCTTCAAAACCATATATATCCCCCCAAAACAGGGACATAATGGGCATATTATCTCACAAACAAAAATACATCATTATAAGTGCTATGACAAAGAAAAGCACACAATGCTTTGCAAGCACCTAGAAATAATATAGAATACAGACAAATGAAATGAAAAGCTTTCTTGGAGAAAGTAATGCTGGAACTAAACCCTGAATGATTTACAGGAATTAGCCAGAAAATAAAGGAGAAAATGTTTTCACAGGAAGAGCCTTTGAGAATATCCAGTGGCCAGAAACAACAACAATATAGGGAAAGAAGTAATTTGGCATGCCTGGAACACAGAGTGCAAAATAGGAAATGGCTATATATGAGGCTAAAGAGAGAAATAGCAGCCAGATTGTAAGTAATCTATTTCTCTTCTGAGGAATTTGAATTTTCTCCCAGAGATTTCAGAGAAACCTGACCACTGAGAAATGACACAATGAAATATGGTTTTATTACATTTATTCTGGCATCAGTGAGCTCACTTGCTCTCTTTTTCCTAGAAGTGATGAGGACAAGATTGAAGACCGATTACGAACGTGTTTGAGTAACAGTGGTGATTTTAAAGCACGTCCTGGGATTCTTTAACACATCCCCATCTAGAGATAGAATCTATGTCCCCTCCCTTTGAATCTGGGCAGAACTTTGTGCCTGCCTTGAGGAACAGAATGAGGCAGAAGTGTCCCTTTGAAGCTAAAATGACTAGGTTACTAGAGGCTATATGCTTTCTGCTGATTTCTCTTAGGAAATTTGCTCAGAGAGCCTCTAGCTGCCATGGAAGAAGTGTGGCTGGCCTGCAGCCAGTCTGTGGAGAGACCTACAGTGAGACCATATGGAGAAAGAAAGAAATGGCACAGGAGGCCCAACTGTTTGAATCCTCCCAGGCCAAGTACCAGAAGTGTTAGTGAAGAAGGCTTCAAAGAAGATCCTATCACCAGACCAAAACCAAATGAGACCCTAAGCAAGTATTGCCTAGCTGAGCCCCACAACACACAACCTCAGATGTGTGAGCAAATAGATGATGTCATTGTTTTAATCTGCTGTTTTGAGGCAGCTTCCTATAAAGCAACAGATAACCAGAACCATGGTCCAAGTAAAAAGCAATGAAGACTAAATTAAGGTAGGGGAAGTTGGGATGAAGCAAAGTGAGCACACTGAGATTATAAGAAGGAAGATCTATGTATGCACAGTCCTAGGGACATGAAATACATTTCTGGTCTTGGGGAGCCAACCAGTGTAATCCTGATGGTTTCTGGCACTTATTTTATGAAGGTAGCTTATTTAAAAATTCAAAGCAAATAACAAAATCTCTTGTTTCAATTCTAAGCTTAGCAAGCAAATTTAGTACATGGCAGTGAGTATCTGAATTTCCGGCTATTATATTTCTCAATGGAGATCAAAACACTGAAATTCTGGTTTTATATATCAATTTAAACATGATAATATTAAAGACCCTCAATAAAATAAATCAGACCCATTTATATTGTCAATTCCAGCTGTTTTCAGATTCTAATGCTTGAGTGGGGAGAAATAGAAAAAGTATTTTAGGAGAAATAGAAGAAATGCAAATATGAATTCTTTATTAGATAATGTTGGAAAATATTAGTAATTTTTTAGGTGTAATACCAGTATTGTTATTAGGTAGGAGCATATTCTTATTCTCAGGAGAAATATACTGAGTATTTTGGGGTGAAGTGTCATAATATTTGTAATTTACTTTCAAATGGAAAAAAGTCTAGGAGTTGAGTATATTGTGTTCATCATGCTATTTAAAATTCTCTGCATGTTTAAAAATGTTCACAAAAAATTGGAAAAAATTCAAACCCTTAAAAATATTTTAGAAAATTACAAGAAAAATTTGAAATGGATATTTGACAAGATGTGAGTTTTTTAATGTAGTATTTTGTCTTTGGTTAAATAAGGAATTTTAAAATATTTTTATCTGATTGAGTGTGTTACTTTATAAAATTTGCTTCTATATTATAATTCTAAATATACTGAGAATAAAGGAAAAGAGCAAACTTTGGAAACTGACAGATTGTGTGTTCTAAAATAAAGTGTTAGCTTTTGGAAAGCCTTGTGGCAGAAAGATTAACTGAAATTTCATCTCCAAATTATTTTCCATATATAAATTGCCACTATGCTTTGGTATTTTAAAAACAGGTTAAAATCAACATTTTAAGTAGCTATGATGGCTTCCAGCAGATTTGATCAGAAAACAACATTGTTAAAATTTTAATCACCGTAATGAGCTTTCTCAACTGGTTGTAAAGAACTCCTTTGAAATATTTAGTTATATATGAGTCAAAACTAAAATGGAAATTAATTAAACTATTTTCAGTTTGAAAATAAGGCTTGAAAATTATAAACATATAATGTGAGAAAATAGTTGATGGATTTTCACACATAAAAAAGATTGAAAGATGCCATGCAGAAAAATAATTAACATCAATAAGTGGAACTATGCAATTCATTTTCTTGTACCAATAATGAAACTTAGTTTCTTTTGTGGGTTCGTTTTTTTAATTAGAGATACTGAGATCCTGATAGAAGAAGACAGGCGATGGGCCTGGTGTTGTCTATTAGTTTTCTGAACTCAACTGCCTTGTTCAGGGAAAGCAGCCCTTTTCTTGCTCTTTTTATCTTGATGATTTCTGCCGCCCTCCCCTAAAAGACCTCTGGAATCGCTGTTGGAATGGCCTTTGTCCTTTGATTCTTAGCGGGCAAAGGGGACCGCCAGAGGGAGGCTTCACCGGCAATCCAGGCTGCACTCTTTATTCACGTGAGGGGCATTTAGCCAGCAGAACCATCCTTCAGCCGAATTTTTACAGAAGAAAAAAAAATGTTTGAGAACCTCTGAGTTAATCACCTAAATTGCTTTATACATTTTTTTCCAGAAGACAGGCCCAACTTTGGGGTTAACAGGGAAAAGCGAACCCCTTAGTAGTTACCACTGGCATCGCTTCTTTGGACCTTGATTACACTGCGTGCCCTTCACCTGACACGTCTCTCCGAACTCCTGAGTCACGCTGTGCCCGCGTCGCCGCTCGGGAGCAGACGCGGCCGGGCCCAGACAGCGCGAGGCCGCGCGGGGAGGGCCCGGGCCGAGCACCGAGCGCCGGGCGCCGGGCGGGGGCAACCGGCCGGGAAGGGGACGCGGGGGCGTCGGCCCGAGGGAGCCCGCGACGCCCGGTCCCTCAGGCGCCGGACGCCGGATACCCACCCGCTGGAAAGGGCTGCATTCTCGCCCTTTGTATTTGTTTTGGGACCCAACCAAGAAACAGCGAAGGAGAGGGGAAAAGACACGTTTAGAACATTTTTTTTCGTTTTTTGTCTAAAAGCTATCTTTAATGTCACAGTCACAACAAAATAGTCGTTAGCAAGTTTTCGTGTCTGTCTGTAAGGAAATCGATGTGGGAACAGTCCAGACAGAAGGAAAACACAGCGAAGTGGACAGCGCGCACCCCCAGCGCCGGCGTCCGCAGGCCGGGGGCGGGGCCGGGCCCGTGACGTCACGGCACCGCGCCTGGTGTTTTTGTGTTCCCAGCTCTCCGGGGAAGCCGCCGGGATTTCTCCACCTGGCCGTCGCTCGTCTCCAGGCAGAGGCCCCCGAGATCCCTTCTGAGCGCTCGGCCAGGCAGTGTTGCGACGGGAGGCGACATTTCCCGAGAGGCTCGGGTATCATATTGAACTTGGAGGAGGGAGGCAGGACGCGAGAGACGCAGCCATCAGCGAGGGAGGCAGGCCCCGCCCGGGGATCTTGGAAACCCTGCGGTCCACCATGAAGTTCCAGTATAAGGAGGACCATCCCTTTGAATATCGGAAAAAGGAAGGAGAAAAGATCCGGAAGAAATATCCGGACAGGGTCCCGGTGAGTGCGAGGGGAGGGGGAGGGGCGGGCTGGGTGGGGTTGGGGGTCGCGGTGGCTGCCCTAGGGCGCCGAGGGGGCTCTGGAGCAGGAGGTCCCTCTAATCCTTTAGCCCTGAACGCCCTTCACGCCCGGAGCCAATCGCCGTTCGGACCTGCGGGCCTGTTAAACCCGCGTCCCCAGGCGGTCCCCGTCGGTGGAGCTGACCGCGTTTTTAGGGCCGAGCCTGCGCGTTCAGTGACTCAGCAGTATTCGGAACGCGGGTGGGTCGCGGTGTTCGCCGAGTCGGGCCGTCCGTGCGGGAGTGGTCGGGACGCGGCCGTGGGTCGCTGCGTGTGGCAACGCAGGGCGGCTGTCACGGCGGCGACTGAAGCGGCGGGGTTTGCTCCCACCGACTTCTGCCTCGGATCGCCCCCCTCGAGGGGAGTTGACTTTGCTCTTCCTGTCATCGGGCTTGGGGCGAAAGGTTCGGAAGCCAGGAGATTCTTTATTGTCTTCTCAGAGCTGGGGACGGGGAGGGTGCGCCACGGGACAGGCCTGGCCCGGGAACAAGGTCACGTTCTCTGCGCAGCGGCCCGCCTGTCGCTGCGTTCTGGTCCCCAGGGCGAGCGGGGGCCGCCGGCCCTTGCCCGGTATTGATCCTGGTACGACGGTACCGGCGCGGTAAGCCAGGGCTGAGCCTTTTTCTTTTTGGTTTGGACTCCAGCTTGAGTAGTTTAAAAGAGTGCAGGCCGTGAGGAGGAACGGAGAAGAAATATTAAGGCATCTTTCAGCATCCGGGCGCTTTCTCCCATTACCCCTCCTCCGCCCACGCGCCTGGGTGTCTCTCTAATGTAGGCTGCGCAGCCTAGTTGGAAGGCAGAAGACTTCTAAGTGTGGTAGAGGCGACAGTAGCTGTTGGGTTTTGGAGATGGGGTAGCAGAGATTTTAAGGTTGTGCTCTTTTTTCTTCAGGCAGGATAGGATAAGTATACTTAAAGGTAAAAGAATTGCAGTTACCTGATGTCTTTTCTTGACCCGCAGGCACTCTTTGGGATTCTTCTTCAATATTTACCTAACTTGCATGGTTTCATAGCTACCAGAAGCAACTTGAGCCTTAGCCCAGCAATAGAAAGCCCTTGCACTTTTCCTGTAAGGAAGAGAAGACATGAGGGCTTTTCCATTTCCCAGGAATTACACACCAAAGGGTTTTCAGCTGAAAGCAGGGTGCTAACCCCTACCCAATAAAGGATCCTTCACAAATTACTTTCCTAGTTTCTGTCCCCTGGATGCCTGCTTTTAAAGTTTCCCCTAATTCTAGTTATACCAATCCTACTCTCAAGTAATATTTAAAAATGACAGCTAACTTTCACTGATAGCTTACCATGTCCCTGGCAGTACTGAACTCTTTCCATATTCATTCACTTAATCCTCAAACGATTTTAATCCCCATTCTAACGATGGATAATCTGAAGCACAGAGAAGTGAAGTAACTACCTAAAGGTTTCACATTGCTGGTCTGTGGCAGAGCCAGGATTCCAGTCCTTTCTCTTAGGATTCCAGCCCTGTCTCTTGGGCTCCAGACCTCTGTGAGCGAATACCCTCCATGCATACCATTTCTCAATTTCTAATGCAGTTCTGTTAGAATTAATTATGTGCTGTGTGCCTCACACTGTTAAGCATTGGAAATAGATAAACTGTTGCTGCCTTCAGCACCACAGGGCAATGAGGTACCAGAAAGGCAACCCAGGAAACAAAATTACTGCTGTTTATTCAGAACTTGCTGAGTACAAGGCTGTGTTCCAGTACCATTACGTGTTATGGACCTGTTCAGAAATCTAATTACAATTTCCAGATTTTCCTCCAAACTGAACTTTCGCAGAAATTCATGGCACCCTTGGGACAACCCTTAATCTTGCTATGCCAAAGTGTCCTGTTTTCGGTCACCTCCAAAGAGGGTGCGAGATTAAATGATTTCTAAAGCAAAGCCCTTTCCGTCTTGAGCATTGGTGTTATCAGTCACATACTGGACTGCTTACATCACCTGAATGTAGCCCCACCAATATCTCTGTTTAGCTGCTGTCCACAAGAATAGGTGTGCTTACGCCTTGGGAGATAGCAGGCTCGTGGGATCTTGAAATTATCTTAATAGAATGTTAGCCACATTTTACAGATGAGGAAAACTGAGACCCGAAAAGGCAAAGCTTCTAGCCCAGGATCCATTTTAAGTGAGGAATAGAGTTGGGATTTTCTGAAACCTGAAATGTTTTCTGGTAAACCAAGGCTTTAGTGATTACCCTTCCCTTCCTGGTCCTCTCTGAATGTGTCCCTGCACTCAAGTTACTTCAGTCTGCTTTATCACTCTTTCTGTACCTTCCTTTGTGGGTTTCATCTCTTCTTACTGATAAGAGCTGCCAGGTCTCAGAGTTAACAATGCTAGGCGCCCTCTATTTCCCTTTGATTTTATCAACTGTGCTGTCTTCTGTCCATCCTCACTCTTGTGCCTTCACTGGTCTCTCCCTGGAGCTTTTCCTACTTTTTCTCTTTCATTTTTGACTCAAATTTCTCCATCCCAGTTTTTATTTTTAACCCTTTGCAACATTTTAGCATGTAGGAGAGTCATAGGAGGCTGAATTATAGTTGTTAACCTTTGCACACGGATGTCGAGTGTGACTCGACACGGTTAGCAAAAATTATAGAGATTAAAATTACTCTTTGAATGTATCAATAATTTGAAATGTAAAAAAATTCAAATAAGTAAGTTTGTATGAAAAGAAACTCCAGTTTTTTATTCTACTGCTGTACTTTGTAAAATCTGAGGTTTTTAAAAAATTAGATCCCGAGTAGAATAAAGGAATCGAGAAAAAAGCGAGTGCAAAGGGTTAAGTTTAAATTGTGATTATGGCCCCCTGGTCTTCCTGGTGCAGGATTCTTTCTCTTACCACAAAACAACATTTTTCATTAATTTTAATCTGTTCCTTTTAAGGCAAAAGCTTTAAACCCCTTCAAACTTAATCTTCATGTTTAAATAGTTTATAATTTATGAAGCATTTTCACATAAAATTTTATGTATTAAGTTCACATTATATTAATACTGTAACTTTAAAAATTATGTGTTGAAATGTTACCTTCCTTTTACTCCTTGGAATATTGAAACTCAGAGAGGTTAAGTGGCCAGTTGGAGTTCACGCAGCCATTAAAAATACTTGTCTAGTATTTGTTTCTGCTTTCTTCACTTTAACTTTTCTATATTTCCTATACTTTGTATCTAGAATGATTCTGTTTTCTATACTAAAAATTCGAAGCTCATGGTTTTACAATAGGTATTTTCTATTTTGTAAGTTTAAGTGTATAAAAAATCTGTTTATATATATCACTTCATTTTTTTCTCTTTTTATTACAGAAATAGATGATCTTTATAAAACTTGGAAGTATTGTCAAAATGTGTAATATGGACAATGAAATTGCTTAAAATTCTAACATAATCAGTATTGACAAATGGCTTATATCCTGACATATTACAGAATGTCAGATTACAAGAACTGTTTTAACACTTTTTTTATTCAATAGTATAGAAACATTTTTTTCCTGTCTTTATTGGAAATTTTGACAAAGTATGAAATTTATACATTATTTGCACTTTTAATCAATGGTATTTATAAGAAACAATAAAACTAACAGGTGATCAGGACTATCTGAGAAGACCCAGCCTTCTTGATGGTCTAATTAAATACCAGAAAATGTATGTCCTGTAGCGTATTGTGTAGATAACTTATAATTACTTAAAATCAAGGTTATTTTTGCTCTTCATTATGCACACTCTCTTGTCTCTTCTTACTGCAGTAATGAAACTATAACCTCCTTCACGGAAGCCCATTTTCTCCATATGTTTTGTCAGGGGTAGGAGGACATACAAAATGGAAAAGTTGTATTGGTCTAGACAAAAACTCACTTCCAATAGGGTGCCTGTAGTATGTGGAAGGAAAAAGACTAGGTTGAATTCTGTAGTTTTCATCTCCCCACTGACCCCCTCTCCTTCCAGGTGATCGTGGAGAAGGCCCCGAAAGCCAGGGTGCCTGATCTGGACAAGAGGAAGTACCTAGTGCCCTCTGACCTCACCGGTAATGCTCTTTCCCTCCCTGACCCTTCCTCCTGTGACAAAGCATTCTCCGTGCTTATTATTTGCATGACCTGTGAGATTGAGAGGAAGTACAGAGGCGAACAAGTGAGTGGGATTCTCCAGAGAGTGAGCTCATTCCAAAATGACATCACCGATTCCTTAAGCATTTCCCATCACCATGTCTTGTTTGATTTAGGAGAAACACAGAACAGAACATTGAAAGGAAAGATCAGATGCTCATTATTTAAGCCACTTTTAAATTTCAGCTTTTGTTATTGTGATAAAAATTTGTTCAGAAAGGCAAATCAGCCTAGTTTCTGGGGAGAATCACATTTTAGAATTTCTTAACTAAATACTTTGTCTCTTCAGGCTGTCGTCGTTTTGGGGTTTTTTGTTTTGTTTTGTTTTTGTAATAAGTTTTATAGATTCTGTTTGGAATTATAAAGAATATATTCAGTCTTCGCCTTGCTCCTTAATGGAATACCCACTGAATCTAGGAGACACTGGAAAGATTTTATAGATATATTTGGTCCAGAGTTAATAGATTTGAATATCAGCCTTACAGAAAATTTTCAGTATTTTCAGGAAAAGGCAAAGCTTTAATTTCCATTCATTGCCCCAACACGGAGTTGAGTGACCATGCTAAGATTACCAGAGTCCAGTAAACCTTTTTCTATAATTAGTTTTTCTAAAGGTGGGAGTAGGGATGAAAGGATATTTCAAAGTCAGATTTAGACAATAGTCCGAATGTTTTGGTCTGGATTTACATAGTATTCCCTTAAAGTAGTCCTAAGGCTATGAGTGGATATAGTAACATTAGGTCTGAGATATAAGCTCTACTATGGCATGTCCGGGACTACGTGGGCCTCATTGAGTTTAACTTTTTATTTTGGAAGCTCTAGGACAGTATTTGGCTCTACTCAGATGATATATAAAGCTGGTGTTTACTCTCAAGAAAACAGATGCAATAGGATTTTTTTCTGGGGCTTAACCTTCTAATCCCTTGTTTTCTTCCTTCTTGACTTTCTTTTCCTTCTTCCTTCATCTAGTTGGCCAGTTCTACTTCTTAATCCGGAAGAGGATCCACCTGCGACCTGAGGACGCCTTATTCTTCTTTGTCAACAACACTATCCCCCCCACTAGTGCTACCATGGGCCAGCTGTATGAGGTAATGGTCCTGGCCACACAATGCTGGATGCCGTCCAGTGCAGCCTGGCATCGTCTCGCTTTTGTTCCGTGTATGTTGGTCACACACCTGAGAAGTGGGGCAGAAGGTGTTATGTCAGGATCCTCTTACACATGGTAGTGCGAGGCTCCGGGAGATTAGATACCACTTGTTCTTTAGGGATTGAGCACTCTGCTAGATCTAATCCTTTTGAAATCTCTTCTCAGTCTTGCCTAACTATAGTGTTTTAATGCTGGATGGTTTTTATTGAAACAGCAGGAAATGGTTCCTAAAAGCAAAAATGTCAAAACATTTACCCATTTGCAGTTCCTGTTATTCTTGTTGGTGACATATAATTTGTGGTGAACTATGCATTCAGATCCCAGTTCATTATTTTATTCCCATTTAACAACAAACTGAGAAAGCAAATAATAGTAAAGCCAGCTGCTTTTTCATTCTGATGCTAACCTCCTTAAACTGAAGGTTTCTTTCTCTTCACAGAGCCCTGTGTTTTGGTTTTAGACAACCACTTAGATCTAAACATGGGCAGCTTTGCTTCTTAGAACAAAGACTGTGAAGGAGACTCCCCGTTATCTGGCCATAGTAAATCAGATAAAAGGAATGTTAGTATTAGGGCAGAGTTTTTAAATGGATTCATTTGTCTTAACAGATAAACTCAGGGAGAATAATTTGTGTGATTTAGTTTAATTGGTAAACTGTTAGAGTCTAATATGAGAAAACTATATTAAAGGACTTTCTCATACTGTAAATATAGCCTAAGGTCATAACTGTATTATTTTGTAAACTATTTCACATAAGATGCTACCTTCTGCTGTGTCCCGGTACATAAACTTCTTTTATTCCATAGCATATATTCCCTATTAGTGTATATTCTAGTATACATGTCTTGTGGGATCTATTGTTGCCAGCATGAGCTTTTTAAAGGCATAGACTGCTTTAATCATCTTCATATCCCTAACACAGGGGTCCTCAAACTTTTTAAACAAGGGGCAGACCGTTGGAGGGCCGGACTATAGTTTATAAAAAACTATAAACAAATTCCTATGCACACTGCACATATCTTATTTTGAAGTAAAAAAAATACCCGCATGTGGTCAGCGGGCCATAGTTTGAGGACACCTGCTCCTAACACCTGTGGGTACTATGTTCTCCGTGAAGGTTTTTTGTTTGTGAATCAGAGTTCAGAGTTTAATTCCAACCATTTCTGTTTATACTTTATTCCTCTTTTTAATGGGGGTGGATGACACCTTCCAGACCTACCCTACAAGGTTGTGTGCAGCCCAGAATCCTAGAGATGGTGGATGTGAATGTTTTCTAAACTGTTGTCTTATCTCTTCCCCTAGGACAACCACGAGGAAGACTATTTTCTGTATGTGGCCTACAGTGATGAGAGTGTCTATGGGAAATGAGTGGTGGAAGCCCAGCAGATGGGAGCACCTGGACTTGGGGGTAGGGGAGGGGTGTGTGTGGGACTTGGGGAAAGAGAGGGAGGCTCCCACCATGGAGGAGACAGAAGGTGAAGACATCGAGAAACATTACACTGCACACACCATCATCACATTTTTACACGCTCAATTGATATTTTTTGCTGCTTCCTCGGCCCAGGGAGAAAGCATGTCAGGACAGAGCTGTTGGATTGGCTTCCATAGAGGAATGGAGATGACATAATTTCACAGCATTCTTGAGAATGACTTTCTGTGCAGTTTCATAGAAGGGTCAGGAAGTGGGTGGGTTGGGGCCAGTGATGATTACAGTCCAGTAGCAACTCCCTGCTCTTTGGGCAGAGATTTGATTTTTGACATTTGCAAAAGACAAGTAGGGAAAGGGTACAGGAATGTTTTAGGACTTGTGGTGGTTAGTGGACCACGCCTGGGGACCAAAAGAGACACAGTGTAATTGAAGCATTGTGGCCCCTGATCTCACACCTTCTCCTTCCCATCTCAGTCATAATTTCACAGATGTCACAGTGCCACCCCAGGGGTGGCAGTAGACATCACCCCAGAAGTTTAGATGGCGCTCTCTTACCTTTTAAGGTGGTTGATTATGAAGATAGTTTTGATAAGCGTTAAACTGGAATTGATGGTGTGTTGAGCATCTCAGTCTAACTTGCTCTCTCTCTGGTGCCACTTATCCCACACCTACTTTGGAATTTAATGAGCCTCAGGCATTTCCAGTTGCAGACTAAAACTACTCCAGCATCTCCTTAGCATTTTCCACATATAGGGACAAAGATGTCTTATGTAGGGAAGGGGCAGGTATGAGGTAAGGTAGATTACACCTCCCCCCCATCCAGAATTCTTGCTCCCGTGCTGCTGCCCCTGCAGTCTCACGCACAGGAATGCTACGTGATGGCCGGCTGCTTCCCTCCTTCGGTTTGCATCCGCCACAGCTGCTAGTTAGAAAAGTTTGGAGGGATGACTTTTAGTAATTCATGGGGATTTTATTGATTTATTTTCACTTTAGGGGTTATGCGGGGTGGGGGTGGGGAGCAGGAATTACACTCAGATGTGACATTTCAATTCATCTCTGATAATGAAAAGGGTCCTTCCTGTTGGGGGCAGCCTGTGTGTCAGTTTTATCAGCTGCAGGTTCTTGTGTAATGAAGTTAATGCCATCAGGCCAAGGAAATAAAATAATTGCTTATCTTAAAAATCCATCCTGAGTTCAGAAATGTTGCCTTTATTTAATAAGCATTAGAGTAGATGACGTGGATTCTTTGAATGGTGAACTTTGAGTGGAGGAGGCTATTAGCGATGAGTGCACATATGGTCAGACCTGCGTGTGTTTGTTTACTCAGCTCTTTACTGAACCAGAGTTGCTGTCCAGGGGTGAATGTTTGGTGGGGCAGTGTGCCTGGTGCTTGGTGATACGTGCGTGATTTTCTCCTCCACAGATAAGTGCATTGTCATCGCTTTTTGTGTTTTTTAAGGCCGAAGGTGGAAGACTACCTACTTCAGAGTATAGGGATAGGGCGTGGGTGTGCTAATTACAAATTCAGATGTCTAAGCCATGTCTTAGATTTAGCTGACTCAGAATCTTAGCGTGGGTGTCTGAATTTTAACAAGCTCCTCATATGATTCCTGCTGCACACTGAAGTTTGAATGTCATTGCTCTGGGCACCAGGTTTTGCTCAAAGTCCCAACCACACCTTAGTCTCTCCACTACGGCTTAATCAGTATGAAGCCACCCTTGCCCAAAGCAGCAAATAGCACCTAAGCCAGGCTCCTGGTATCAGAACAAACGTGGTGTCTTCTGAGATAATGAAAGTCTTTTAGTTGTCAGGAACCAATATGTGGGTGGGCTGTGGGTGTGCAAGTTATATGAGAGAATGAAAAACAGATTAGTAGCAACTCCTTTCGTAATGAACCTTAAAACCCATCTCTAACGCTCTTTGATGTCTTATATCTGTATCCCCTGGTGGTGTCCACCTCTAGTTTTATGAAATATATGAGAACCACCAAAAAAGATGTAGGAAGTCATGATAGATCCATGGCAAGATTCCACCAACCACTGAAAGCGAGGTTCTAAAAGTTAAGTCAGAGTTGACAGAAAAGGAAGAGGCCCAAGCCCAGGAAGCTCGACATGTAGAAAATTATGGAAAATAACTTAGCCAGGTTCAGAGACAAAGCCAGGATGTGTACTCGTATTTCAGTGCTCTGGTTTGGATTTGGTGCTTTTTCCTAAATGTCAGTGTCTTAGCAACATCTCCCTGGTTCCTGTTAACTTTTAATGCTTCTTTTTTTTTTTTTTTTTTTTCGACAGAATCTCGCTTTGTTGCCCAGGCTGGAGTGAGTGCTGTGATGTCAGCCTAGCTCACAGCAACCTCAAACTCCTGGGCTTATGCTGTTCTTTCTATTATTATTATTTTTTGAGACAGAGTCTCACTCTGTTGCCCGGACTAGAGTGCCGTGGTGTCAGTCTAGCTCAGAGCAACCTCAAACTCCTGGGCTCAAGCGATCCTCCTGCCTCAGCCCCCCGAGTAGCTGGGACTACAGGCATGCACCACCATGCCCAGCTAATTTTTTCTATTTATATTAGTTGGCCAATTAATTCCTTTCTATTTATAGTAGAGATGGGGTCTCGCTCTTGCTCAGGCTAGTTTAGAACTCTTGACCTAAAGCAATCCACCTGCCTCAGCCTCCCAGATTGCTAGGATTACAGGTGTGAGCCACCGTGCCCGGCCACGTTTAATGCTTCTTAGCGTCCTCAGGCCATTGTGAGGCTTGTCTAGAACTAAAAGTAGTTTAAGAAGTGTCCATCCATTAACCTGGGCCCCATTTCTCATTGTAAGATTGACTTGCTCTGAAGCTGCTTTCTGGAGATAAAGTTTAAATCATGTGTCAAATAATCTTTTTCCTTTCATTGGAGGTCAGTATGACATCAGTATCAGAGATGAGTTTTTAGCTCTTCTGTATACTTTGATAGATCTCAAGTATGTGAAGTTAAGCATACATCTAGGATTGCAGAGGATGATCTTGATTTATGCTTATTGTGCTGATTGATATATTAGTGGTTTCTTATTTCACAGTCACAAGTTCCCCAGTGGACAAAATACATGATCACTCTTTATACTTAGTATCAAAATTGAAGCTGCTGCTTTCCATCAAGAGACAGGCAATGCTGTGCCATTCAGATTTAGTGTGCCCTGTCGAGGTGGAGACTAGAAAAAGAACAACACTTGTTATTGGCTAGTCTGCTTTATTCTGTTTCCTCTCAGTGCTGAATTGTTTTCTTCCTTCAAAGCATGGTGTACTTCTTAAAAAAAAATTATAGATTATAATGCAGTCAGAAGTTAAGATTGCAAAAGACCAACTGATGGTTGACTAATGTACAGTGGTAACCAGGCAGATGAGTCCAGTGCCCTGTGCACAAGCAGGTGTCACTGTTGCCTCTGAATAGTACTCCCCAGGATGGTGTGATACAGTCTCCTGGCCACTGCAGTGGCCCTTGGGACACAAGATTGTCAGTTACTGTTGCCTTGGGAATGTTACGCTAAGTGTACAATTCCCCATTACATTTGTGTCATTACCTTCAGCTATAATAGGTATGGCATAATTTTGAAGTTGTATGTGGGGGGAGCATGCAGATACACATGCCTATATATACGGTGCCAAGTCAGCTGTAATAATGAAAAAATTTGGTCATTTTGGAAAGTAAAACTAGTTGATAAATTCATTTTATCTAGTTTTTATTCTCTATAAAATTTGTCTTCGATTATTTCTAGCTGTGGTTTCTGTTGGATATTTTTACTTTGACAGATTTTAACAAGCTCCAGGCATTGATTTAACTTTATTTTTAGCTGCATGAAACTACCAAATATTTTCAGAATGTGTCCTCCGTTTTGTCCTTGACTGGCTCTGAGTCCAGGTTGTCTCCTCCGTGCAGCCCTGAGTTAATGGGAGTGTTTCCTTCCTGGTCCGTGGCCCAACTGCCCACCCTCCCCTCTGTTTGCCTGGCTATTATCTCAGTGCAGGTTCTGTACTTTGCTCAGTTCCAACCTCTGGCATGTTACCCTGTGGATGACACACAGCTATGGAGCTTGTTTTTCTCAGCTATTATGATAAATGGCTAAAAAAAAGAGAGAAAAATCACCACCAACAACAAAAAACAAACCACAAATATTAGAGTCTCCTTCCCCAAAGCTTTGAGACTGATAATGTCAGTCTACTTATCTTGTTGTGTTATAGGGCCGTGCCTCATTTTCTTTACCTTTTTTTTTCTTTCTTACAGTTATAGGCACTTTGGTACTTTGTAAATACAGTGCACACAGCCAGATTATTTTCAGAGTTTGAAATAACAGGAAATGATCACCCTTAGAAATAGTCCAGTGACACATTTCAACATGCCATTATGCAGGTGTGAGTGTTTTCAATACTAACAAAAGTCTTTAGTCATTCTCCTGGTGTGTCTTCAGCAATGTGAGGCCATCTACTTTGACAGTTCTGTTTCAACACATCAGTGTGTTTAAGATCCTTTTGACTTCTCTTTAGATTTACTTAGCTCCTAACTTGCATAAAGTGGTTCTTAATTCTTGGGTGGGGAACTGAAACGCATTTTCTATTTTTACACTTATCAGCCTCAAAGTTGACTTACATCATTTAGTAAAAGAGTGGTGATTGATTACTGGTCATTTAAGCAATATGCATGTGGTATTCAAAGAATGAAAGTAATAATAAGCCATATCTGGTGTGCTAACATTTGCTAATTCCCAACCTCCAAGTCTTAGCTCAGATGTCATCTCAAGGAGGCCTGCTCTGAGCATCTAACATTCGAACAACCCCTACCCACTCCTGGCTCTTACAGTCCTTTTTATCATGCTCTTTGTGTTTTTTTTGCTTAGCAGTGATCACCTAACATAATTTTCTTATTGATTGTGTCTTCTATCTCTAGATTGTAAACTCCATGAAGGCAGCAACTTTTTGTTTATTGATTTATACAGATTGCTCAGAACAGTGTCGGGTATGTGGTTGGTGCTTAAGAACTACCGAAATAGTATTTTCTGATAGGACTGAAACATAGGTAATTCAGTTGAGAACTAAATTATTCATAAAAGCACATTTTACAAATAGGCCATTCAGTGAACTTTGGAAACCCCTTGGCGCTTTACTAGAAAGAAGATCTGGAGGCAGAAAACGGTTTAAATCCTTGCTCTGCCAATTGACTACATCTGTGACATGGACCGGTTTATCATCTGTACAAATGAAATTCTGGGTTTCCTTCCTGTCAAGTAGACACAATAATTACATCACAGTTCATTATGAATATTAAGTAAATCCTTTGCATACCATTAAACAGCATTCTTATAAAGAATAAATTCCATTTGAAACTAAAATGGCAATAACTTGGGCTGGCTGGCAGGAATCTTCTTCCAGGTTGTTTTTGTCTTTTTATTCATTTGGTAATAGAAAATGCAGGCTGTGGCCATGGCTCAAGGAAAATGAAGCAGAGTATGTTGAACTGACATCTCAAAAGATAGCCCTGACTGTGAGCACAGTAGGGAGGGCTCTTCTCCTTTCTGTCAGACTCAACTTTAGGACTGATTTTCTTCAAGGCAGTAGCTGCTATTTGTCCTCAAAGACGACACTGTGTGTCTCCTTTTACATGGCAGCAGGTAAAAACTAGACATGGAACAGAGTAGATAGAATATTTTTCAGCCCTATCAGTCTGTAATTAACATCATAAATCATTTTATACTCAATTTTGGTATTTTGGCTAAATAGTTATAAGATGTCCAGACAAATATCATTCTGTACATACATTAACGAATATAGCCAACTGCCATCATTACCTTTTATCCCACCATAGCAGGATGAACTGTGTCAGTCTTTGTCTTCCAAAGAGCGCCCTTGCAGATCAGGTGTCCTCCGCAATCCAGACGGGCGGAGCAGAAGCATTTGCTCCCTCCAACATTCAGTCTAGTGCGGGGGAACAGCTTGTTCTGGAATGGCAAGTGATGTGTCTTTTTTTCTTCGCCTTATTTTGGTCAACTTTATAATCCCTAAATGGCAAAACTCTCAGGGACCCACACTTCTTAAATACTCATGAGTAAGCAAGAAGGGAAATTAAAGGAGAAAGGTAGGAAAGGGAAACAAACATTTATTGGCTAATTATATATAAATCACTGCGCTAGTTAAATAATCTTTGAAGCTAAACTAG